ACTGACACATACAGATACACATATACCAACACACATACAGATACACAGACACACATGCATAAGTGTGTGTTTGTGTGTGTTTGTATAGTGAATGCAAAGTGTGCTTGTATAGTGGATAATGGTGTGAGGGAAGGGGTGATGGTGTGGGGGGGTGAAGTGAGAGGGAGCTCAGGGAGGGTGGTGAGGATGAGAGGGAGGGTGATTGTGAGAGGTAGGGAGTGATTGTAAGAGGGGGGTGATTGTGAGAGGGAGGTGATTGTGAGAGGGGGGTGATTGTGAGAGGGAGGGGGGTGATTGTGAGAGGGGTGATTGTGAGAGGGAGGGGGGTGATGAGGAGAGGGAGGGGGGGGGTGATGAGGAGAGGGCATTGCAGTCTGCCCCAGGCACCATCCTAGTGAGTGGCACCCCTCCCACCCCCTCACCCCCCCCTTAGTACGCCACTGGCTAGGTTTCCCAGGCTTGTTTTCACAGTTTATTACCGCTACTCTAAGCAGTTGATATGCGGGGTTATAGCTAAAGCTGATATTCCACAGTTCCCTAGTCATACAAATTCATACCAGTGGGCAGCTGACACTCTCAGCCAATTACAGCCGCCCATTGCTTTGTTAGACCAAGCAGCACGGAGGAGATGGAATAATGGGGACTCTCGTTTAGCATTAACATATTAAAAACAGGAGGATGGTGTTAGGTGACTCCAGGCACTATAACCCCTTCCATAAGATAAAGTATTAACAGTGCCTACTGTGTACCTTTAAGATGGTGAAATGGTGCGATAGATCTGAATTTTGAGATGAATGCAGATTACACATTTGTGCAATAGAATTAATATGCCTATGTTTTCTTCAAAAAAAAAAAAATAGTTATTTTTTTTCGAACAAGATCAGAATGAACAAAGGAGAAGTTAGGATCACTGAACAAACAGACAAACTAATAAATAAAATATAAAATATAAAATCCAGATAAAATCCAAATACATCATATGTCTTTACATGAACCTAACTAAGGACCTTTACGAAATTATCACAATTTGACACCGTTACTGTTATGAGTTGTAAAGAACACATGTATTTGCATATCAGTTAGATAATGCAGGTATGATATACTAGACAGAGAATGTGTCTTACAATGAGAAAGCATCAAACTTTGGACTTTGTAAGATTAATATTGCGGCTTATTAAAGGGTTACTCCAACATTTTTTTTTTTAGTTAACATTTATTTTAATCAATAATACCCTATTGGGCATTATTGACTTGTCACCCTCCTTAATGGTTACAATTAAGTACATAAAAAGCTATAAACTTACACATATAGCCTGCTCTGGGTGAGGATCCCTACACTTGTTTCCACACCTCTTCTGATGTCACAGCTCCCCAGAGGGTCCTAATCAAATGCTAGAGAGACAGAGAGTGTGGGGAGGCATTAGATGAAAGATGGAAGAAGGGTGGGGATGCTATTTGATGCACACTTACCTTTGCACTGCCTGCAAGGATAGAAGCTCTGTAAATCGGTCGCCAGCAAGCGCTGCGTACTGACGACAGACATATTTTCGATAGAGGTCCAGGCTAACTAACTCACGTGTGCCAGGAGTGTAACTAAACACAAAAGTGATTACATATCTAGATGTGAACTGTTTAATGCAGAAATGCTGCAAATACAGACTCCTACCACCATGACCACTTCTAAAAGCACAAGTGGCCATGGTGGTTGAAGTAACACTTTAAATAGGACTTTAAAAAGCAAATAAAAAGTGGAGGAAAGGTAAAAAAAAAAAAGAGATAAATGGAAGAAAATTAGGTCAAAGCACAAAAAAAGATGAAACAGACTCAAAGTCCAAAATCTAAAGCTCTAAAAAACAAAAATAAGGAAAACCCATACCTGTATATTGCAAGTACAGAAAATAACAAGGATGTAAACATCGGTCGTCAATACTCCAGCAAAGCTGCCGTTTGTTATGAAAGTTGTGTAAACCAACATTTATTATCTACAACTGACTCCAGACACATGCGGACACAAAATTAAAGGGAACAAAAAAAATCCAACAAACAGATATTGAGTAAATAACAATAAATATGGATTAATGGACAATAAAAAAACAGGATGAGAGTGGAAGTTCAAAAGAGGACAAAGGGGGAGAAGGAAGTAAAAAAAAAAAAAGCAAAGGGAAGAAATAGGGCGTATATACGAGTAAGAATAAAACAAAAGTAAGAAGATAAAAACCAAAAATGTTTCATGGCTGACAAGGATGGTAGGTGAAAGGGTTAAAGAATAAAGGATTCTAATTTAAGTAGGGTTTCAGTCACAAACAGAGGTACCTGTGCTACCTGAGGTCTTTCCACTAATCCTCATCAAGGCCACAATTATCCAGCCTTGGTCATCCATTTATTTTATTTTTTTGTTAGAATACAGTGCCCATAATTCTCTACTAGCCAATTTCAACACCCGGTAGGAGGTAGTCAAAACTGGATGAGCACAGATACACAGGTGGAATAATTTAGCCCAAACACATTAACAATAAGGTTGCCATTCAGCTCAGAACAAAGTAGAATATCATAGTGTATCACAGCAGCATTTATAACAACTCTATAGATGGCTTTGTTCTGTAGCTGCTAAAATGACAAATCATACAGACTACAAAATCTGTTTTAAAAAAAGATTTATGGGGCCTGCTCCTACCGGCGTTGTGATTTATCAAGGAGAAACGGTGATTTTTAAATGACACCATTTGCATCATGTTTACTTTGTGAGGATATACACTGTAGTGCAAGTTTGTGTTATAATATGAAGAGACTCATGCAAGCTTCATAAACCGCCTCTCTATAGCCAGCTTGATATTACCTTGTAGATCGTTTTACCATCTACAGCACCCTTTGGCCAATGATGAATGATCTCTTTACTGCATTCATATATTCTCTTGTACATCCAATTTCATAACAGCTGCACCTGCAAGGGAAGATTTCCATTATCTACTGAATGCTTGTGAGGAAATAAGCATACGTTTTGTTTTCTGATAGTATCTTAAAGGCCTAGTGCGAGCACAATATAGAAGATGCACTCCAGACCTGGCTCTACAGTTCTGTGTTTATTTAAACAACACACTGGAGGCTGGTGATGGGGAAACCCTACTTATATGGAAATCGAGACAACAGTTTAACAGATAAGGGAATAAGGGTGGGAGTATGTCTTCTGCGTTCAGTGACACTCCTCCCAGAGAAGACACAGATTAATGAAAATCACTAATGTACCATCATAAGCAGATTGCATTCAGCATTATTTATTTATATGGAACAGAGCACAATATGTGGATTCCTGGTTCAATTTCCATCGTATATCTGAAAGGAATTTCTATACTTTAATTCTTTTTTATTGTAAGAAATTAACTGAAACTGTTTAACCCCTTAAGGACACATGACATGTGTGACATGTCATGATTCCCTTTTATTCCAGAAGTTTGGTCCTTAAGGGGTTAATGCAGAAGTGCATCTATCTATTTATCTATCTATCTCTCTGTGCCTGTCTGTCTGTGTGCCTGTCTATCTATATTTATGTCAGTCTGTCTTTCTATCTTTATGTCTGTCTGTCTATCTATCTTACTCTCTGTCTGACAATCTAAAATTCTTGTTGCACCATTTTGGTAAACACATTTTTTCTGTACAATGGCCAGTGCTGTGTAACCGGTTTTTGTTTTGGAAACAAATATGAAGAAAGTAAATTAAAAAAAGATTTTGGGGATTTCAATTAACAGTTGACACAACTCTCCTTGACAGGGAGAGGGGGTGGGGATGTGTACTCAAATCTGATTTTAATCAATTTGTAGTGCAGGAGACTCGGTCTCCTGGGCAATCAGGAGCTGGCTAGTTCGTATAGTATGTTAACCAGCAGTATGGTATGACATGAATACTTTCAAATCCGTACTGTGTGTTAAAATAATTTGGGAGGGGGGAAGAGATGCTATCATTGGCTCTTCTGGTTATAGCATAATTTCCACAGCATCCTTTGCCGGCAATAGTAGTTGTATGGGATAGTTATAAGGTAAAGCTGAAATCCATTGTCTTGTTACTGCTGCATTCTGCAGGAGGCCTTTAATGCCACAAGGCCTTGGTCCCTTACACCTGCTGCACCAGAGGAAGATTTAGTCTCTGCAAAGAACTTCTGCAACAGATGATGCATTTAAGTTGTTCAGTATTATTTTTTTGTACGCTTATATATGTACATATTATACATAACAGTGAGCTATGTGTTTTGAGACAACAAAGTCACTGGGGAGTTCTGGAGACAAAATAATATAAATGTTATCTGAATCCCAAGATGGTATTATTTTCCTTTAATACATTCTGCAATGATAAACATCTTTTAAGCTACATACCAATATTAGGTTTGGGTTAATGTTAAGGGAGTGTGGGGGTTAATGTAGTGGTTAATGTTTAGCGATAGTGTTTTTGTGCTTTATGTTGAGTGGTAGTGTAGTTCATTTTTAGCGATTGTGTAGTGGTGTATGTTTAGTGATTGTGTAGTGTAGGAGTTACTGTTTGGTGATAGTGTAGTGGTTTATGTCTAGTTATAGTAGTGGTTTATATTTAGTGATAGTGTAGTGTAGGAGTTAATGTTTAGTGATAGTGTACTGTAAAGCTTTTTTTTAGTGATAGTGTAGGGGTTAATGTTTACTGACAGTGTACTGCAGTGTAGTGGTTTGTATTTAGTAATAGTGTAGTGGTTTATGTTTATTGATATAGTGTAGTGGTTAATGTTTAGTGATAGTGTGGTGTAATGGTTAATGTTTAGTGATAGTGTAGGGGTTAATGTTTACTGACAGTGTACTGCAGTGTAGTGGTTTGTATGTGGTGCTAATGTAGTGGTTTATGTTTAGTGATATAGTGTAGTGGTTAATGTTTAGTGATACTGTAGGGGTTAATGTTTACTGACAGTGTACTGCAGTGTAGTGGTTTTTATATAGTGATAGTTTAGTGGTTAATGTTTAGTGATAGTGTAGTGTTTGGCGATAGTGGTTTATGTTTAGTGATAGTGTAGTGTTTGGCGATAGTGGTTTATGTTTAGTGATAGTGTAGTGATTAATGTTTAGCGATTGTGTAATGGGTAATGTTTAGATTATCATTCAAATGACAGATTAGCTATTTCAGATACTCCCACGTTAATGGCTGTAGATGCCACTTGGAAGTGTAACTCCCACTAATATCGGACTGACCAGAACATGCATATCCTGGTCCTGTCTTAGTTTAGGACCCTCAGACTACACATTGGTGATCTGTGTATTGTAACTTGTTCATTACAGGAATTTATGGCACTATTAGTGAAATATGATATTTGAAAAGATGATCTGTGAAAGGAGACGTAAATGTCATCATGCAATGGAGGGTCCCCCAATTTCAGCGACACAGAGTGGGACATTTACAATATTTCTATCTCCTGTCATTAATCCAGCCTTTCTCCATAAATTGTTATGTCAGGAGAGGAGAGGGGTTGGGGAGACAGAAACAGGGCAATTATGTCTCCCTAGCTCCTCTTCCAGCTAGAAGGGCTAAATTTGACAGCAGCCACAAGTAGCAACAGCTACCCCTGAGTGTAACTCCCACAAATCTTGGATATTAAAGCCCTAGTGCTGCCCTAACATGTCAAGAACCCTAACCTTAACTTTAAACAAATGCAAAAGATATGCAATGTTAAAAACAATATCAGGAGAACATAATTCCATTAATAGTTCAGGAGGTATTTATAAATCATTATTATGTGATATGTTGTATAAAAAATATTATACATACTATAGAAATATTCTGGTGTATTTGTGTGTGTGTGCGTTATTTTACATTTATATAACTAATTTTAGTTATATAGGTTTTACATGTGGGGATATCTATATGTATTGGAAAATGACATGCATATAACTCATAAACCCATAGGGATCCAAAGTCCTCAGCTCCTGCAGAAGCTCTTGGGATCTAGAAATCTGCTGGCTAGGCTGGAAATGTAATAAATCTGTGCCAACACCATGCATTCTCCGATCTAATATAATATCGAATTAAAAAAAAATTAAAATTAAAAAAAAATCTGCCAGCCAGTTCTTTGGGGTAAACCCCATCGGTTTAGTCATTCGTTGCTTGTCTGCAGTGCGTTGCACCCCCCCTTTCTCTCTCTCTCTGGTTCTGGTAAAGGGCTCATGGTCTTCAGCTTGCACCCAATGCGACAAGGCACTGCCGGGGACGGTCCCCAGCACCGCGCCGCGAAGGGTTAACGCACGATTGGGAAGATTCGTTTCATAGAATGTGGGGCTGCCTTGCCGTGACGTCACTACCTCCAGCACTGGCACCAGCGCTGGAGAGAGCGAGAAGGAGAGGGCTGGGAGAGTGACAGACCAGCCTACTTTAATAGCTTGGTCATGTGACTGGGAACAGTAGTAAGACAGGTGCCTTCAGTTCAGGCTCAGTAAGGGGCTAGTTGCCTGCATGAGTGCGAGCTCTGTGTGTGACTGTGGATTGTAGTTCCCAAGGTTTACTTTGCCGTCATTCAGGGGCTGGATGGCGTGGGAGATGTCCAACCAGGACTCTGTCTGGAGTGACATAGAGGTGAGCTGCTATTAAATGCACATATATATATATATATATATATATATATATATATATATATATATATATATATATATATATATATATATATATATATTGATCGCTATGCATTTATTATTTAATTTTATTCTATGTATGTGTGTGTATATGTATACACATTAGTGCTTATATGTATTTATTTTAATTTATTTTATTTATTTATTTTTTTTACAGATTTTTAATTTGTACATTTTTTTTTATTTGAAAAAAAAAAATCTTTGCAGAAGAAAAAAAAAAAGAATCCTATTTCAGATCTGCAAAAAAAAAAAAAAAAGTCTATTAGTTAAGGCTATCTGAAGTGCTTGCAAATGGCTATTTTTAAGGTTTCACTTCTATGATGTTTAGAGTCAAAGATTAGCTGCTGTCATCGGTGCCTTGCAGTTGGAAACTATTCGCATGTGCTTTTGGCTGTCTCACCAGTCACATGCAATATGTATGCCCATGATATTGATATGAATCAGTGTCTGAAGACTTTCCAGTGGCCTGCTTGGAAGCTTGCCATACCTATTTATATAACAATTAACTTAAAATAATGTCACTTATTGCTGCTTACATACTTGGATTCTGGATGCCTGAATGCTTTACATAGGCTTCCATGTCCGTATAGCCAACTCAATGGAAAGATGCTCTGCATTAAGCATGTACAATGAGTAAAGAAGGATACAATGTTACTATTGCTATTATAAATATGCTCACATTAAATTTTTTTTTTTTAATGTGAGCACCTACCTGTGGTTTCAATAATAGGGTTATTTATCATCTTCAGCTTGGCAATGATCAGCTGTTTGTGCCTTCATGTAATTCAATGCTATTGTAATGAAGCAAAAGAATAGTGTCTATAGGAACTGTGCAAAATGCTGCTGCATGTGTAAAAATAGGTGGCCATACATCAAATCTACAGCTTCTGCTGGCTACAATTCATATAGAAGGGGGGGAGCAAGCAGTTCTGTACTAGTCCCTGGAGTATGATGTATAAAAAAACAGGTTCTGCTAGAATTCTGCATGTTTGCACTATACAAATGGGAACCTTATTAGGGAGCTTAAGCAACATATGAGTCTTATAAAACTTTGTTGCAATTATTAAAAATGCTGGGCCACCATAAATATGGCTGCAATACACTGTGGTGGTATGAGTGAAAACACGTATGTTTGTGTGTGTGTGTGTGTGTGTGTGTGTGCACCTATATGCATGTATGTATAATATATATATTCATGCATGTACAACGTTTATCCCTGTGCATTATATATAATATGCATGTGATCTGTTTTAACATATATATATATATATATAAATATATATATATATATATATATATATACACACATATCTGTATCTGTGTGTGTGTGTATGTCACATTGGTTTTTCATTCTGTTGGTACTGCATCCAACACATACGCTATTCCAATAATACACTCTATTTTACAGTTTCTTGGCTTTTTTTTTATCATGTGTGATATTTTGAGAAATAAGGCAAGCACATTTAATTCACATCTAATGTAGATGAAGCTCGAAGGCATGATTGCAAGTGGATGACTTTCTGACTCCAAACTCCTAATTGTTTTTGAGTGGCCAGTGTATCCTGTGGGTTGTTGTCTAGCTCCTAGTGTGGGTCTCAGCTGCTCGTTCTTGCTTTTTCCATCATGCATTATTCCTGATGCTGCTAAGAGCTGATTGAGAAGCAGCCTGCATGGAAATATTGAAGATTTATTTTTGTAAACTACTGATCATACCAATAGCTATTTATCTCATGATCACTAGCCAGGATAGGCAACAGCTAGGAGCTACAACAAGCGACGATTACAATTCCCATCATATGGTTCACGATAGGGGTTGTAGTCTGCAGAATCTCAAGTCCGACTTTGCCTGATCACTAGGGTTCCGTTAGAAATGTATTGCCACTCGTATTCTGTTTATACAGGAATATTAACTCTTGGTGCAGCTTGGCTCATGCACCGCTTATGTTGTGATTAAATTATTGGAGCTCAGTCATGCTTTTTCTACATTAACACAGTTTATGAACCTTGGATTGCTGGTGGGGGAACCATAGATTGGATATGAGTGCCAAGGGAGCTTGGGCTCTAACAAAAAAAAATAAAAAAAATTGCGAAAACCTTCACGCTCTCAAATGGTTAAATCTTGGATGATCTAAAAACATTTTATTTATTTATTTTAAATGAAAGGCTGTAAAAAAATAAAAAATAAAAAAAGACAACAAAACATGCACACTTGCCAAGAACTGCAATCTGTCTGCTCATCGAATAGGACAGACTGATGTTCAAATTAATAAAGGCCCACATAGCCGTGAGCCCCAGATGTTTCACATTTTAATGAGAGTGATGTGCGGGGAGATCGCCGAGATTGATAGAGCTATTTCACAGGACACATTTGCAACAAGTTTTCTGTCAGTCTCTCAGCCAATGTGTTGCTGTAGGGCACCCTTTATATAGACGTATGTGTAAAATATCTAGCCATGTGACTCTCCAGGGGAGTTACTTTGATGCTCCCAGAATACAAAGGGTTAATCATAATGTTGTAACACTCCACAAGCCCCATCCCCTTTGGCATCTGACCACCAAAGATAGGGAAAAAAAACTCTGTGCAAAAGCTAATGGGGATTTAAATATAATTGCAACGCTTCATTTCAATCATAGGAGCAGTTAAGGAAATTTATTGTCTCCCTTTCTTAACTGTGGGAACACAGATCTATTGAGATTGAATTAGTGCACATCAATTCATTTTTTTACGTTAACTTAACGGGCTTCCCTTTCCAGTGATCGGGAAGCACCTTTGACATATGTATCTTATGGCTAAGCTGTAGAAATGAACAGGCTCATATGGGTGGGTATATAAGGATGAGACAGATGTGGTACAGGTGTTGGCTAACATTTGTGGACTTTAAGAGCCATATAGATGTATATCTATGAAGAAGTATGGTCTGATGAGCTAAAAAAGAGAAACATCAATAGATTCTTATGTAAACTATTAAAATGTTGATGTTGATTTGGGACTTGTCAACATGTGAAGGCTGACAACCATAAATTACAAACATAAAATAGCCATTCCGCACTCCTCTAGAAATATGGATAGGGAACATATACGACATAAGTTGCTGTGCACTACAATTCTAATCATGTCCAGCCAGCCAACGTTATTCTCTGTAGCTGGGGTCCCTGTGCATTTGTGTCTAACCTTTGGCACTGCAGCTGTTAAGAACCATTCTTCCAGTAGTCTACAAATATTTAATGCTGCAGCTGTTTTGGACTATGTTTCCTGCGATACTGAGCCAAACATCCGGCCCGGCATCATGGGAAACGTAGTCCAGAGCACTTGCAGAACCAACGGTCAGATAGGCTTTCTGTCTCTCTGCCTCACAGTACAAGTAAAATGCAAGTATTCAAAAACATTGATTTTATTATCATGTCAACATTGGCAGTGTTTTGGGTTGTTATGGTTTTTCATTTCAGCTTTAATCAATAATTCTCTCTGGAGTATTGGCGTCTGTTTATATGCCTATGAAAAAATGCAATGTAAAAAAGCATGGTAAAATTTAATTTTAAGCTATATATATATATATGTGTGTGTATATACATATAGATTTGCTCGAAATGCATTTATAGACAGCAAAGATCTCATGCAGAAAATGTGTTTAAGATAAGCATACCAGCCTCACTGCATACGACTATAGCATCCATTTTAATTACCTTTACACACAAAAGACAACTGCAATTGATTTATAGACTCTTTCTCTCATGCCTACTAGATCTTGTAATCTGATTATAGAGTAAAAAAAATGAAAATAGAAAAACAGCATAGTGCATCATTCACTGTTGGTTATTTACCAGAAACCTATTTTTACTAGACTGTATGCAGCTGGACGTAACACCTAATGATGAAATAAAAAAAATGTAAATATCATTATAATAGTGTTTGTAATGATAGTTGCGTGTGTGTTTATGATATGTGGCTTCGAGCCATATCTTAGAAAGACATTTTGATGACCCTGGTATGGCTGAAAAATTGCTTAATCTGGACGTCTTCCAATCTGTTTAATCGTAGTGTAACCTTGATAGCCAAAGCACAAAAAAATATAGTCGATCAAAGCTTAATGCAGGTCACATGCTACCTAACACAGTTAATATATTCCTCAAGTTTACACGTTTCTCTCTCTCTCTCCCCCGCAGTGCGCAGCCCTGGTTGGCGAAGACCATCCACTTTGCCCAGACCTTCCGGAACTTGATTTATCTGAACTTGATGTCAATGATTTGGACGCAGACAGCTTTCTGGGTGGACTTAAGTGGTATAGTGACCAATCTGAAAACATTTCCAATCAGTATCGCAACGAATCGCCAAATATATTTGAGGTATGCCAGTTGTCTTTATCAACCAGACTTCAGGTTGTTTAAAGCATTGTGTATTGGGATTTCTCCAATTCTCTCTTTTTAAACATCTTCTTAGATTTCTTTTTATAGTGGAGTCCAAGGATTAGTTAATGTTACCTTAATTAATTAAATTTATTTATAGAAAATGTGGGAAACTAAGTTAAGTGCAGATGGTGGCACACATCAACTTTTGACAACACGCCCTATGCTGTAGGATTTTCCAGTTGTTTTTTTTTTTTTTTGGTAAGATTTCTTTTAACTGAGCAAAATGTAATATTGGGAGTCCTATGTAATAATCCAATTGTAATAGGTAAGTATTTACCTCTGCGGGGTTTGTTCCCTAAAATAAGGGCTGATACGAATCAACAAGAGAACTAAAAATATTTAGGCCAAAATAGACTAAATGGAAAACTATCTAAGACTGAAAATGTCTACAATTCAACTATTTTAACATAAACTCAGTTTGTTTGTTTTATTTATTTATTTTTCTATGTTTAGTGAATACACTCTTTTGATTTTAAGAAGCTTGCTGCTAGTATTGTTATGCTCAGTGGGTAATAATATGTATTTTTATTATAGTATACCTTGCAAATGTGTCTCTATATAGAAGGGACAGTCCCTATTTTTGGAACAAATTCTCCATTCCGTCTTTCCTATCCCCATGTCCTTGTTTTCTAGGAGCTCCATATAATAATGTGCCTGGATGTGTAACAGAGCTCCACAGCAATCATACTTGCTGTAATGTGAGTTTAAGAACAATAACCCTGTTTAGAAATCAGCCTGTGTAAATAAGATACATTGTTCTTCTCTTTTACATGTTATTATTAGCAAGCCATCTAACATTTCTCAGAACAGCCCTGCCTCTGAACACACCCCCACTCACACCTCTAAAATTAAAGTGTCAATGTTTGTCCATTTAAAGTGCTGGGAGGTATGGCAAAGGATTGTCCTGTGGTGTCCACATACAATGTTTCTGTAGAAAGATATTAGTGCATTTGGCAATGGCTTTTTTTGCCTCTTCTTCCCATTTGCCAAAATTTAAATACATTCCCTGTGGCTTACTTATGTGCATTGCTAACCCATTGTACCTGGCTGCTGAGTATATTGGTGCGTTGCAGAACTAATTATGAAATCACATATTCCTTGTATTTAAAAATATATATAAAGATTATGTTTGTTCTTCCTCACATATTTACATTTCAAAAACAATTTACAAAGGAAAACGTAATCTTGAAATAAACATATCAAATTTTTCAGAATGTATTTGGTACTTAAAAAACTTCAGTAAATCTGTTCTCTGGAAATCCTCCAACCACTTAGTAGCAGGAGTTAGTCTGGAGTATTCTGACAAATCTTACTTGGTGCTAAGTGGCAGTCTCCACGAGTTCTCAGAAGAAGTAACTAATGATGTTCTAGAGGTTCGCATTCCCTCTAAAGAATCTAAAGGGTTAGGTTTATTTTATCCCTATTATAGATATGTATTAAGGGCTAGCTGTGCCTTGGGAGGCTGGAAGGCTGATTAAATGTCCTTTAAAGTTTGTCAAGCCATACACTTTTAAATTGGTTCACTGCAACGTTGATTGTCACTACAATCCTAAACTAGTTTCTACCACCATGCATCTATCTACCTCTGCCATGGCACTAGCTGACTTGGCATTTCCTATACCAGTGAGAACCAAATTCTTGGTTGTTGTTTAGTCATAGTGCAAGTAAGGTTTTAGAATACTGCCAGAAAATGCTTTTATTGATTTATTCCTTGAATTTGCAATTGCAAAGCGAGAGGATCCTTTACAGAGACAGTGACAAATACGGTCTGCTTTCATGTCTAAAGTGGAATGCCTTAGAAGACAGCTGCCTCAATTGTTGCCCTTGAACTTCACCAATGCTTCCTTTGTCAGTGTAACTGTACACTGGCATGAAAAACCAAGTGCACAAGTAGGACGGAGGCCTGGCCACATGCCTTACTTAGGTTACACCAGTTAGTTGATGGAAAAGTCTTCAGAGCACTTGGCAGCAGCATCTTTTTTTTTTTTTTTTAACCGTTGTATTTCTGGGTGTTATACGTGTGTAATTGTAAAATAAAAACAAAAATATAGCGTTTATTGTATTAAATATATCAATATTGTTATTCTGATAAGTGTACTATATTTCCAAGTTGAGATATAAAACATTTACTGGAATTCTCCAACACATGTAGAGAATATAAACATTCTATTTAGAAAGTAAAGTTGTTTCAAACTTTAATGATGCCCTTAGATACCAAACTTAATTTCCGAGACTTTCTCATTGCTCTATAGTCTATAGGATATAATGTCAGAAGGCGATATATGATATAGTAGGGTTGGTAACCTGGTGACACTATCAGTTGCTGCTATTTCGTCCCACTGTTTATATTTTACTTACACCAACCGGTGTTTAGAGAATACATCCCATTGTTACTTAATGAATGAGCATGTTGCTGCAGCAATGCAACAGTGTTATTGGCAACATGCTTAGTCATTAAAAAACATTGTACTTTATTTACCTGTCTTAGTGAGCATGAGAAATGTTGCACCTGTGTGTTTAATGCATGTCTTAAGATAAGTTCATTTTTGTGATTATGGCAGAATAAATTGATTCATTCCTAATGTTCGTGAAACTAAAACCAGAAACATTTTTATCCAGACATAACATACAATTATTTTTTGTTGTATTCCATACTGCCCCTTTGTGAGGATCTTGTTAGCGTTTTATGGTAGGATATGTACAGAGTTGTGATAGTTAAAGTGGACAATGATGCATGCAAGAAAACACCAAAAACTAACCAAAAAAAACAAAACAAACAAAAAACAAAACAAAACAAACACAGTGCTTAAGGGTTTTTGTTAGCATAGATACAGTGCTGTGAAAATATTGGAGCTATTGTGTGGAACCTCAAAGTGTCCATTTTTAAAAAAAAACTTTTCACTACTAAATAAATTTGCCCCCCAGCAGCATATTAAACCACTTATTATAACACATTAATTTTGTTATGTTATCTGTTTCCTCTTTGTGACATGTAGTGCCTTGTTAGCCTCTCCCTAACTCTGTACCTGTTAAGGATCACAAATGAGACATTCCCATTTATATCATGAAATGCCTGGTATGTCATCTGTCCTTAAATGGTTAATTCCGTGTGGTGTGCAAGGCATTTCAAGTCACATGCACAGAAAAGCCTGTTTCCTCCTGCTGTACCCATACATTACCAGCTTTAACTAGTAGCAAGCCAGTTGGTTCTAGAGCATTTTGAATGAAGTACATTTTTGTAGGAGGCTCGTCTAGTCTTGGCCTCATTACAAAAAAAAAGTTGTAATAAAGTCACAAGACTAAGACATATGGGTATGATGACAACAGGTATATTGTCTGTGCAATAGCAACCAAGTCATAAAGTTGAGATATATACAAAGACTGTCTTTGTGGCACGCTAGGTTCAGGACGTTTTGGTAAATCTAAACGTTAACATAGTTTGGGAACAGGCATAGCAGTGATTCATGACTCCCTGGTGTTCAGTGCCACCTTTTCATAGAAAAAAAAATACCCTTCTGATACCTGTATGGGATTGAACGGATACAGACATCTGAACTTCTCTCTAGAGTTATGTTGATCATTTTTAAGTCTTGTGTTTTCTTTTTAATGAAGATTGGCTCAATATATCCAAATCACCTTAAACTCTTAATGTTCCTTTGGCATATAGTGCCACTTAAGAGATTTTGGAACCTTTTTAAAGGACCACTATAGTGCCAGGAAAACATACCCGTTTTCCTGGCACTATAGTGCCCTGAGGGTGCCCCCACCCTCAGGGACCCCCTCCCGCCAGGCTCTGGAGAGAGGAAGGGGTTAAACACTTACCTTTCTCCAGCGCCGGGCGGGGAGCTGTACTCCTCCTCTCCTCCTTGCTCGCGACGTCATCGGCTGAATGCGCATGCGCGGCAGGAGCCGCGCGCACATTCAGCCGGTCGCATAGGAAAGCATTTGCAATGCTTTCCTATGGACGCTTGCGTGCTCTCACTGTGATTTTCACAGTGAGAAGCACGCAAGCGCCTCTAGCGGCTGTCGATGAGACAGCCACTAGAGGCTCTGGAGGCTGGATTAACCCTCAGTATAAACATAGCAGTTTCTCTGAAACTGCTATGTTTATTAAAAAAAGGGTTAATCCTAGAGGTACCTGGCACCCAGACCACTTCATAAAGCTGAAGTGGTCTGGGTGCCTAGAGTGGTCCTTTAATTCCTTCACTGTAGAAAGTTGGGAGCCATTTAGATTTTGATTGCTGACATCATATTCTTGCTGCATACTTGTGATGCAATATCGAATTGACACCTCTGCAATAAAATAAATAAATATATCTATTCAGCTGCTAATTGTAACGAAATACTAAAGTAGATTAAAATACTATTAATTTGCTGGGACACTTTTTATTTTTTTTACATTTTCTTTTAATAAAAAATAATTTTAGTGACAGTTCTACTTTATCTATTACATTTTTTTTACTGTTATAATGATAAACAGGCTGGACAGTGTCTTTTGCTGGAGCCACAAATTACTTCTATTTTCTGCAAGTTTCTATCCTTTATCAGTCTGTCTAATTAAACTGTCAGTATTGACAATTATTGGTAGACAGGCCTAGTTTATTGACTAATGGATGTGTTTGGAGGTGTTTTGTGACATCTGTAAAATATGGCAGTGTTTTGTAACATTAAAGGATCACTATAGGGTCAGGAACACAAACATGTATTCCTGACCCTATAGTGCTAAACCCACCATTTAGATGGCTTGCCCCCCTTAGCCACCCTATAAAAGTTTAAAACTCACCTTATTTCCAGTGCCACACGGGTCTGCCGGTGCTAGCTCTGCCCCCTTTGTAACATCATCAAAATGGCTGATTTTTAGCCAATCGAGTGCATTGCATTGGCTAAAATCGGCACGGTGCGTGGCAAAATGCTGTTTTGGCCAATCAGGACCTCCTCATAGAGATGCATTGAATCAATGTATGTCTATGAGGAAAATGCAGCGTCTCCATGCAGAGCGTGGGGACGCTGAATGGCAGGGCTGCTTACTGAGCAGCCCCGAGCTAGGAAGCCCCTTCAGTGGCCATCTAAGGAGTGTCCCTAGGTGTCCCTAGGGGCAATGTAAACACTGCCTTTTCTCTGAAATGCAATGTTTGCATGAAAAAAAGTCTGAAGGGAACTATTATACTCACCAGAACAACTACATTAAACTGTAGTTGTTCTGGTGACTATAGTGTCCCTTAACAGACACTGTATATTGTAGTGAGCAAAATGAGTTTAAAGATTCCGCAAAAGTGCAATCTGTAATACTTAGTGACTTTAAAAAGCACAATAAACCTTCTTCCTGATTGGCTAGTCATTATGCATCCATTTCTAGTAATCACAGTTTTTCTAACTGAGGTAGAAAGTAGATGTATAGATTTTACAACTTTGCAAACTAGATAACGGGATTGAGTTTAATACCGGTATGTTAAAAACCAAGTGTAAAGTTGAAACTAGTTCCCGTTAGTAAAAAAAACAAACAAAAAAAACCCCACTAACGACAAGAAATTCTACTTTAGTGGTATTTTTCGTCCTTAGTGACGCCTTAATACCCCGGGCTAGTAAATGTTCTTTGTAGATTTTATTTTTACAGTAAATCATAAATTGCATAATTGGTGTATCTTGACATTTTCATATATGATAATTTTACCTTTAATCAGCCATTCCCAGAAATATTAAAAAGTTAAAACAATAGAAACTGCCTGACCTGCTGTCAACCTTAATATCCATCATGCTCTGTGCTTCAACGGTTTGCCGACTGATGGGATTTGTATTCCAGAGCAGTTCACGTAGCAGAAACTCCCTCCGCCTATCTTAAATTAATTTTAAAAAAAAATATGTTTGAATATGATGCCCCTCACATCCATGTACAAATTATAGTTAAGTTGTTACTTTGTTCAAGTGTGAGTCAAATTAAATAAACTGTGAATTTAATGTTTTTTTTTGTTTTTTTTTCGGTTTTAAATCAAAAGCTGAAATGAAAGAGATTAATGCAATGTATTTGTTTGCAACTCACAATTAACCTCAACCAATCGTGTGTTTTTAACAATCAGCCACGAAAGGGTTAATCTGGTCTCCTGCTTGCGAAAGGATTTTGGCCTACCCAAAAAACTGCCTGTAGCATTGTTATTTTGTCAACCAGCAGGTGTCACCCTGTAATCAGTCTCACTGCAGGGTGCTGACTCAACATTATTCACAAGCATTCTCACTTAGGAATCCAATCTAAATCCATTGCTTTGCATCCATAGCTTTGCCAGCAACAAAAAAAAAAAACTTTGAGCTTTTCACAGATGCCCGAGTTTCAGACATTGAGCATTTACATAACTGAACAGTAATGCCCGGCTCACAGAAAGCATAATACATATCAGAAAGAAACGTAAATTGTTTTACCGATGATTGAAATGGCCTCACGTCATTTAATCTCTTCCATTCCTAGAACCGCAAAGCCAAGGTACAAATGAATCAGTTTGCAAAAGCAGGGGTTGTCATTCTTGGCATAAAAAAGAGATTTGCAGAGATCAATGGCTTTTTACAAACGTCAAATTTAAAAAAAAAAAATTGGGTGTCATGACATCAATACTTTTTTTTTCTTTCTGTAACTTTATCATTGTAGTACATATAAAAGTAGATGATAAAATATTCTGTAAAACTGCCAGTTACGTTACTATTTCAAGTTATCCATTGAAGTTTTGCAGACAGGCTGATTAATGAATTACTAGATCTTGCGTAAAATGACTTGGCCTGATTTTTAAACAACTACCACTGTTTTCTTTGCCAGTCTTGTGACTAGCGTTAATGGGTTTCCCCTCACCGAACCTCTATAGAATTTTTTAACAGAGTTTTTTTTAATTTTCTTTTTTTCTCTTTTCTCCTTCAGTGTCAAATGCTCTGAGAATTATTGACTAAACAAAGTATTGCAGAGAATCGAAAACCAAAAGGCAAATGTTAAGCTAGAGATTTTTTTTTTCTTCCTAAAAACGTTCCTACAGTTTTGATTTCAATTATCAATTCTCTCCAATTAATGCTTAAGTAAATTACGATAAATAGTCAGACTAACCTTAAAACTGCAATATTCTGAAAACTATATTTTGCATAATGCTATGCCTACCGTCTTTGAAAATGTAGGTCATAAACATAATTTTGATGTGGGAGAAAAATGTAATTATTGCTGAATAGTTGGTGGTATGTGCCCTTCGATGCCAAATATACATGATTTATCACACTGCGTTTACACTACCGCAGACCCCTTGTGTTTAGAGCAAGCACAATGCTTAACTCAGGAATGAGCTCTGAACTCTGGAAGGTAGCCTCACAGCTATGTGTAAAAGGTTATTGCTCGGTGAATACTAAAATAAACTTGAGGTTCAGCCGCAGCTAGCAATCATATGACATTTTTATATGCTTCAAGGGATTATGAAGTGGTTTAACTTTATTCTAATGCTGTAAAAGTAGCTTAAATTGAAACCTTGCTAGTGTGCCAGAGGGGTTTGTTAACTTTTGCCATGTGTCATTAGTCCTTTGTAAGGGAGACCAACACTATAGTCTGTATATCCAAAGTTCACAGAGTTTGCTTGTTACTGAGTTGAGGTTATTGTACAGTAGCTTTCCACTGCAGGCTGAAAAACAATGTATTTCTCAGCAGCCTTTTTAAAAAGCATGCATCACCTTTAGCTGAGCATTATGGGAGTTGTAGTGTCACAGCTTGCCTTGTGACAAGGCTTCACATACCCAAATACATGCTAAGTTATGCATGCCAACATTTTATATAGAATTTTATGTTTGTGACTTTGTCTTGGCTGCTTAAAGGGATCACCTGAATCTAAAGAAAGTTGTTATGGTGCCAGGATAGAAACATAGAAACATAGAATGTGACGGCAGATAAGAACCATTTGGCCTACCTAGCCTGCCCAATTTTCTAAATACTTGCATTAGTTCCTGGCCTTATCTTATAGTTAGGATAGCCTTATGCATATCCCACGATACCCCATTCCCGAATGGTTTAGCCTCCAGTGTTGATCCTCAGGTCTCCCAGGCGGCATCTGGCTACTGAATCTCTGTTTCAGGAAGCGCCGAGTGATGCCGGGCAGGGAGCTGTCGGCTAATGCTCTCAGCCAATTATTGACTCCCCATTCATAAAAGAGAATTGAAAAAGTTCTGTTTCTTTTTAAGCCAGTGTTATGAATGGGGAGTCACTGAAGAATGCGCTCGGAGGCATCATGGCACCATAACAACTTAATTTAGATTAAGATAACATTTCAGATAATGTTGAAGGTTGACTGAGAGGGGGGGGTGGATGGAGGGGTGACTCCTGGCACCATATTTACCATAGTGTACTGTAGTGGTTGTGGTGTTTGGAATGTTCCTTTAAATTTCAATTCCTTCCAAAATCTATAGACTTAGAGTATTTATATGCCGCAAAGATTTGTATTTTATGACATTAGTTAATTTAATTGAGCAAGTTTAGGAGACAGACGAGTCTGTAATTTGTTCCACAATAAATAACAAACAAAACTGACACAGAGTCAAGTTATTAAAGTTTACAAGACTAATAAAAAGACTTTAACTTGGCTATAAAAAAAAAAAAAGGTTACAATAGTCTAAATGTACATTTAACTTTAATGTCCTAAGCAATTTGAAATAGTTTCTTTTTATTGTTTGGTGAGCACAATTAACCTTTTGTCTAAAAAAAAAGCTACATCCTGCATCTCCTTTTGAAATAAGTGGCTCAAGAAATATCAAACCAGCCACCATTTTAAAACGATTCCAGAGACGGTTTGCCGTTTGATGGTCTCCCTGGTGTCCTAGCACTCAATAATATTAAGAACCAAAGGCAACACCTATTTGTCATTCACTCAGCCTCTCAGGATAATAATGCCCCAAATGGGGTGCTCTGGGTGCCAAATGGTGATGCTCCTTGGTAACATCCAGAACAGGTGGCTTTGCATTGTAAGTGCAAGAAGAAAGTTTGAGATATGGTGTCAATATCCTGTATTGCCATTAAAGAATGTACTCAGATTCCTTAAAAATATATTAATCGATTAAGCCATGCATGTATGACATAATACGTGCTACATGTCTTCCCTAACACTTCCTCCATCCCTCACTGCTATTTCTGTACAATATTGGCATGAGTGGATGAATAAGTGTGCCATCCCACTGTTTCTTTACCACGTTATTTGCCTGTGGTAGTAATGGGTAATATAAGGCAAGTTTTTTTTTAAATGTACTGCTTTCTGTTTAATTGTATTGTGCATTTCTATTAATTTTTTATTGTAAATTTTTGAGTTTCATTGTCAGGTAACAAGCAAAAACTCTCCATTGAGCATCCATTTCTTCCCAAATGTTCATCTACCAAAGTTTCAATGGAATGCACAGCATAAGAATGCATGTGTTTGTTTCAATTTTTAATCAGTGGCGGTTGTTGTAATTGAAAGGAACACTATAGTGTCAGGAATGTAAACATGTAATCCTGACACTATAGAATTAAACTTCCTATGTAGGTTTCCGGCCCCCTCCAGAGCAGTGGAAATGGGTTTAAACTTACCTCTTTTCCCACACTGCGCTGGTCTCGTGCAGCTGGCCCCGCCTCACTCCACCTCCATGGCTAAGGTCATCAAATTTGATCATCTCAGCCAATCCAATGCTTTGGGAGGTTTTGCAAATTCGCAGCAAAAGGCTGTACTGCGCCAATGAGCATCTCCTCATACAGATGCATTGAATCAGTGCATCTATCTGAGGAAGCTCAGCGCCTCCATACAGAGCGTGGAGACACTGAATGCCGTCTGAGTGACTACCAGTAGACATGTTATTAGGCAACAATGTGAACACCTTTTATCCGAAAAGGCAGCGTTTAAAGTCCTAACACTGCAGGAACAGGCTTTAGACACCAGAACCACTACATTAAGCTGTAGTGGTTCTGATGACTATAGTGTCCATTTAAAGATGATGGTCGGCTGCCCCCCATGACTGGTAGGACTCCACCTTTTTAACCCCATGAGATGTTATACTCTGTTCAAAGCCAGCTGCATCTCCAGTGATCAATAAAGCGGTAAATGGATAATGAAGATATAATCATCACACACGTTTGTTTCTAACATGCATATCAATATTCCTTAAAATAGACTTGATTTTTAAAAATTTTTATTTTGCAACAAAAACTGTGTGGGGGGAGGGGGGCGCTGTCCCACCTCCCCCCATGGACCAGTCTCCACTGGTCTTAATAAAAGGGGCAACTTTTAGTTTATTCCATAAAAATAGGCCTCAGTATTGCAGTTGTCCTTCTTCTGCAATCTTTTAATGGCATCTTATATGGCTAATTGCCTTGTACCAATAACTTTCGACATTGAGTACAACCTTCCTGTTTGTCCTTGATCGAGTGAGTGCTGAAAGATTAGGCCGACAAAAATGTACATATTAGTATGAGAAAAAATAAGACAATTACTTTGACAGCTCATATTGTATGATGGCTTGTGTGGCCCTGTGCCATTCTCAAGCACATGATCTCGTTGCTAGAAATGATCTTTCGGTTCAATCCTGTTATACAGACATTCCATAGTACTTGCCAACTCTTCATCAGTAAGGGACAAGGTTTAAAGTACTTTCTGTTTTTAGTAAACCTGTTTTTTTACGCAATGTTTCTTTATTCCACTGGAATTTTTTTATTTTTTTTAAAGTCCATACTACAAAATGCATTTCTTAGAATCAAAGGCAAAGTCCCGGGAGTACACTGTGTTCTTTAAACTGTCACACATCTAAATACAAACTAGTGTCAGCTGCCTCACAGACATTTAGAGATAACTAGTGTGAGTGTTTAAATGGCCCTCTTTGCCACAGGTCTTCATAAATTCATTCTGGTCACAGTCTCCATAAACATCTGTTTTAGTGTTACAACTATTTTGTGAAGTACTCTGTTCTGTAACAGTCTATAAAGTAGCCTAGCCGCACTACTGAAACTATTTTTCCCCAATCATTTGTAGCTTTTTCACACAGTGGCGATATATATATTTATATAATGGCAATATATATACATATATGTAAATAGTGTAGATTGGATTAGCCGTATTAGTCTATTAGACAAGATGCCAAAATACCAGAGTATTGCAGTATGCAATGATACCTTTTTTTATTGGACTTGCTTCAGACCTGAGGAAGAGAGGAAACTCTTGAAAGCTTGTCTTTGAAATATTATGTTAGTCCAATAAAAAAAGGTATCATTGCATACTGCAATACTTTGGTATTTTGGCATATATAAATATATATATATATATAGGTCAGGGACAATAAGCTGAGTTATAGTAGTGGTGGTGTAAGTCAGTTGTGGTGTCCCGAAACCGACATTCGGGTAGGCCTGTAAGAAGAAGGCCCACCAAAATTGAATGGCATAATAAAGGGAGCGGTGGGTTGGCTGAACCAGGAAGTATTGGCTCAGAGGAAGGGAAGGCCTGTGTTTTTATAGGCCATGTAACCCTCACCACAACTACAAGCTCCGTCTACAGGCTTAGCCTTCCTATATATACATCATTTCTTACTGGGCCAGATTTCAGAAGTGTTTTAAGTTTATAATATAAGGCACACTCATGTGATATAGTGAAATATAATACACTTCAGCTTCTCTGGCCTTAAATTTGAAATTCACTTTGATTTCTCACTTTAGTAAATGTGCTCTGCCATCAGTCAACATTTGTAGTGACACAAGATGACCTGAAACTTGTGTCACCTAAATATGCCAGGCAGTACACCTAATTTAGACATTTTGATGTTCCCTTTACCTTTAGTGCTCTTAAAGTGGCACCTTCAATGTCTGGGAACTTTGCAGAATTCACAAAGACCCCCGACTGTGACATTGCCACTGGGGGTCTGAGGCCAGGTAGGGCAGGTAAAGGTGAGTACTACTTACTACCTGTCCCTTGCGTGGCTGCCATCTTCTCCTGGCGGGTGTTCTGAGTATTTCATAAAGATTCTATGATTGTTTATCGGGAGAGAATGGGGGGTGACAGTGCCGCTTTAAGGTTGAAAACAAAATAAGCAAGCTGAAGAATTTTCCCAACATGGAATTTTTGGCTAAATTTTGCTTGTCATTTCTTACCTGTCATCAGCTGGCTAAAACAAAGGGATTTGGGAATTAAGGACTGCTACAAAATATTTAGAACCTGTTGCTTGGAGAGAATGCATTTCTAAAGATCAAGTGTGCCATCTGTCTCTCAATGAAAGTTACAGGCCTCTGTGATAGATAAGTCACCCCCTTTGGTATTCTAAATCATTAAAATCTCATCAGTCCAAGAGGAGTCATCCCAGTCTTATCAACACCTTCCATCAAAGCGTTCTGGTTCAATTATAGATTTGTGTCTCCTACTTGCCCATGTTGCAGAAGAGCTTTACTGGTTGGTATGAATCAGTCAGGCTCACATATAGAATTTGTCTTAGGATCTCAGCTACAATTAAGAAGACCTTGATGGGTCATTATCTTTGACACTCGGTAGGACATACCTTTTGTGTAATGAAGAAAAGATGAGTATTATTTTGTAATCGTTGCATTTATCTCGAAGAGACAGGGAGCTGAAGAGGACCATGGTTTGTTGCACAGGGCTTGACCTCTCCTTCTGTTGCAATTTGTCCTTTCCTCTTATGTTCTCCACTGTCAAGGATGAAATAGTGTTAACCTTTTGAATCTCTGAAGCCTGAACAACACACATTTTGGTCTTTATCATTTTAAAGGTACTTTGTCATTAATAACAACCAAAAATAATATTTCTTATTGTGCATTTAAAACTATGATAGTGCTAAACCAATTGTGTCAAGTTTGGTATTTTGTTTTGTGTTTTTCTTTATTTTTGTTTAAATTACACAGCTTAAGTTCATGTCTTTTTAGTAGGGCATGCATATGACTTCCAGTCATGCTAAGGGTCTGTTTTCTTAATACTATCAGCTAATTCATCTTATCAGGACCTCCTTTGACCATGCAGCACATTGAAGTGACACACTCAACTTAAAACAAATTATCTCTGGTGTGTGTGTTGGAAAATAGCCATTAGGGAGAAAAAAATTAACTACCTATGTTTCCAGATCAACTATCTAGGCCAAAAATGTGAAATTTCCTGGTCATATCCCAACAGTTCATGATTTACTGAATAATTCTGTTTTTTACAAGTGATTTTGTAAATAACCCCATCAGTGTTTAACTGGCAATAACACAATGTTTAACAGTATTTGCTGTATGACAGAATGTCTAGCAACCTCATCAACTTGCATCCTAATAAATATGTATACTGAAAAATAAAAGAAAATACGGTAATCACATCGCCTTGGCAGGAGGATAGTAGTGTTATATGGATGGGTTTTGTAGGAATATGAGATTCATATCGATTGTTAATTCATTTCAAATTTGAGGACAAAATAGCAAACTTGAAAAATTCAACTACGTATCCAAATCAGCTAACTTGGCCTCAAATTTAAAATTCACTTTGGATTCCATGCAATCCTCAATTTAGTGAATAACCCCGATAGCTTTTTTTTCCAGCTGTTGTTAGACTGCAGTTCATATCATGCTCTGAAATTTTAGCTTGATGGGAATTGTAGTCTGTTTTAATTATTTACTTCCTAGAGGGTTAACGAATTAAACAAACTTGGGAAGAAAGTCTATTTTTCTCCCCTGGGTATGATATAGTCGGAGATGTGATGCTCGGGGTGCTTGCTAATAAGATAATATTTTATAAAACAGCTGGTATGAAAGGATGATAAAGCATGTGATGCAGTGGAAAATGCTTGCAAGGTAGGGATATCTGTATACTGAAGGGTAAATACCAGTAGGTGGTAATTCAGCATGCTCGGCAGTTTGTTACTATACACACCTGACCCCTGCTGCACTTTGCCAAGCAATATTTAGCTGACCTCATCCGTAGATCAGAGGTCATGACAGGGGTCAACCTGTTGCCCTTTAGTTTGTATTGATGATCCATGGCTCCTGTAGACTGTCAGGGTGATGTAGGAGTAGCAGTCCGAGAACAGCTGAGATTCGCAGTCTGAGATACCCCTGGGTTAGACGTTCTCAGACACAGACTTGTGAATGATTTCTGTTGGCAGTTGCTAAACTTAAGGCTATTTTAAAGCAGTGCTTTGAAATCGATAAGGCGATTGCATGTGGTTTGTCTAAGGAATGTCTCCGGGCCCTAAAGTATGTAAACAACATGGATACAGCACCGGGCTGAGAATAAAAGGGAAACAATGTATAATCGTGAACCTGTCACCTTAAAAATATTAATCAATAAAGAAAAAAAACTTTCAGACATACCTTTAAAAAAACAACAACAAAAAACAACAACCCAGAAATAATAGATTTGCCTTTGTGCCATTTTGAGAGTCCCTATATCAGTGTTCGAGTAAATGCTTTAGCATGCTTGCATCTCTGTGAAATGACCCACTGATATCATCTAGTTTTTCATTGGACCCAATATCCTGCCACCAAAAATACCCCAGGAACGTGTATAACCCTCAGCCAACTTGGAGTTATTTACTACATTCCAAATGTGATAATTATCAAGTGTCTATTACAAAATGATCATATTTCAGATCTGCCCTGATAATCTCTGTGTTTAGTAAATAGACTCCTTTGCGACGAAGACTGACCTTTGGTATTTCGGCTGTTGTAGATAGTCTTTGCCATATAATCAATCAGTGTTCTACTAGTTGGGATTCTTTACCAACAGTTTGTAAGACTCACCAGGCAAAGTTCATCCAATGTCTGGCAGTGACATTAATGAATAAACGTTAAGAGATTTGTAATAAAAGAAAAACGTCCTTTATGTAACAATATAAAAATCTAATCGAGGCTCAAAGGTCAGTGCAACATTCCAACATTACTCTAGGCGAGAGAAGTCATACGTACAGCTTGAAGTTACGTAATCATTTGTGTCACTGTACTTGCAATTGTGCCTAAAACCAACTCGCTTTTCAGTACACCAGGCTGTGAGCTTCAGAAGGCTTTGGCATCAATTACTTACAGATAAAGACAGGTAAATTTATAGATTTACAGACCTGAAAATGTCACTGCAATGAAAAGGGGTATATTTTAGTTTTTAAGAGGTGAATCTACTTGTTAAAATATTACTATCATCACTTCCCTAAAGTGAGATTTAATTCAAAGTGAATTCACGGTGAATTTCACATTGTAGGCTAAGGTAGCCAAACTGTAAGGATAGCTGATTTAGATAATATTTTCATTTTGGCTATTTCTACCTTAAATTTGAAATTCACTTTCACTTCTCTCTTTAGTAAATAACCCAGTGTGACTTTTCTACATCTAGTTTAGATGGTATAACTGCAAGAGTTTGTAGTCTGGACATTGTTTTACTGTGGTCAAGAACATATTTGTAATTCTAGCTTGTTAAGAATATCTTGTTGGGTTTGATCATCATATCAAATTTCAAGTAACGGATGAAGACCCAGAGTTCATCTTTTCAGTGGTCATGTCTAGAATGCATAGGCAGGGGTCCTCAAACTCCGGCCCCCCAGATGTTGCTACAACTCCCATGATTCTCTGGCTATCTATGTAATTCAAAGAATCATGGGAGTTGTAGTTCAGCAACATCTGGGGGGCCGGAGTTTGAGGACCCATGGCATAGAGACTTTATGTTACAGAAAATGTTTCTCTATGCTAGGCTGGCTGAGCATCATGATAATTGTAGTTAACATCTTTTGAAGTGGGAATGGTTAGCAAGCATTTCTTGAGAGATATTTGGTATGATGCTTTTTTTTTTTTTTTTTTTTTAAACGATGGGGGATGGACTATTACATCCCTGCTGAGTGGCTATTACAGAATGTGCAAAGTGTGACCTTTTAATTTAGCTTTATTTTTTTCACTAGAAAATGTAAAAAGAATATAAGATGAATCACTTCACCCCTGCATATATACACACTCACAGCAACACAGAGTCTGCCAAAAAGGTGGACATTTAAAGAACGATAACGAGAAAATAGCTAAGTGAATCAGAACTATAAAAAGCCCAGCAATTACCAAAAATGGAAGCATATGCCAGTTATCTGCATCTCCTAGGTTGAACAAGTTTTCTAGTATTTAAGATAATTCTCTAGTGGCTTCTATTTATAGGCCAAGGGTAAGCTTCAGTAAGAGCTTTTCACCAACCTGCCCTTACAGACTAAGCCAATAAGCTGCCTGACTTCCATATTACACGGCACAGATATTAAATAAGACATTAATAGATCATTAATATAGAAATGATTAACTCACATTGTTGCAACCAGCATATAGAAATGATTAACTCACATTGTTGCTGTTTTCAAGGATTTGATACACTTTTAAAGATTTTGACGCCTTTCAAGAATTGCTAGATTTTTATTTACATCTAAGTTGTTATGTTTTGTGTTTGTTTGTTTTTCTAAATTATGGCTGCTAGCAGTATGTTCTCTGTAAACCCTAGTAATTTGTTCCCCGCAAGTATTAACATTTTGGGATGGAAAACATGCTAGTGGTTTATCAATTCTGAGCACTTATTATCTCTTACAACTGCTAGTTTATTGTTTCTCATAAACACTAAAAGTTATTTGTCTACAATAACCTCCCCTCCCCTTAGTATATCAATGCAGCATTCCTGTTACACCGCACACAACTCATACACCAAGATTCCGATGAGAGAGTGTCACTGTAAGAGGAGCCTTTATCAGCTCTTGGCATTACTATTTTAATTATGGGTCTTGTGCTCAGACAATAGATTTAGGGTGTCTCTTCTTTAAATTTTGGGTGTCAGTGACTTTGATCAATATTGGCAATTCTGTAAATGCAAGCTTAGAAATTCAATAGTGGCACCCAACTCATACCACGTCAATTCTAGTTGGTAAATCTTGAACAGTCGCTGTCTTGCTGTTACAACTATACCAAGTCGGTTGTTTACTATGTATTGACTTAAGCTGACCCATGTCAATTATTCAATTGAGGGGATGTCAGATCAATTATACTGATATTACAACTTGATCAAACATACAAAAGGAACTCCCCTAAACTAAAATATTGCATTGAAGACCCCTCCTCCGTTCCTCACAACATGTGCCATATTTCTATTTTTACGATCTTTTTGGAATAAAGAGAAATGTCGGGTAATATACAAAGTATCAGCATTGTACTGACATTTCTTTCCATGTAATGTGTCATCTGAGAGATATGGCTAATCAGAGAAACTAATGTCAAGACAAGAATAGTAGGAGCATACATTTTAAAGGCACAGTTATAAGCATCAGTTAGCTAGCACGTGATACGCAATTTCTAGTTTAACTTTCTAACGTGTCAAGATTATTATTATATAGTTCTTTAGTTTTATTGTAGTCTCAGACATGTGTTCATTAACTTTATTTTATTACATAGAACAAATTATATTAATTTTGGTACATTATTTGCGTTCTTTGTTCAAGGGTTACTCCAAGCACCTTGACAACATCATTGTTGTGAGGTGGCTATGGTGCCCGGAGCTGTAAGTGTAGAGTTTTTCTATGAAACACTGCACATACAGAGTTTAACCCCTTTGCTGCCAGACACTCACCTCCTGTAGTGTCATAGGGTCTCAAACTATTGTAAAATGTTTTTTTCCCCATTATCGGAGGATGGCAAAATGGTACTCCTCACATCATAGTATAAATCCAAAAACTAGGATGCATTCCACAGCTACTAAATAATAATTAATGCTTTATTCTCATAAACTAAAGATAAAAAAAAATACAGAACAAAAGACACAGTTAAAGGAACACTATAGTCACCTAAATTACTTTAGCTAAATAAAGCAGTTTTAGTGTATAGATCATTCCCTTGCAATTTCACTGCTCAAGTCACTGTAATTTAGGAGTTAAATCACTTTGTTTCTGTTTATGCAGGCCTAGCCACACCTCCCCTGGCTATGATTGACAGAGCCTGCATGAAAAAAAAAAACTGGTTTCACTTTCAAACAGATGTAATTTACCTTAAATAATTGTATCTCAATCTCTAAATTGAACTTTAATCACATACAGGAGGCTCTTGCAGGGTCTAGCAAGCTATTAACATAGCAGGGGATAAGAAAATCTTAATTAAACAGAACTTGCAATAAAGAAAGCCTAAATAGGGCTCTCTTTACAGGAAGTGTTTATGGAAGGCTGTGCAAGTCACATGCAGGGAGGTGTGACCAGGGTTCATAAACAAAGGGATTTCACTCCTAAATGGCAGAGGATTGAGCAGTGAGGCTGCAGGGCCATGTTCTATACACCAAAACTGCTTCATTAAGCTAAAGTTGTTCAGGTGATTATAGTGTCCCTTTAACAAAGGCTAGAAAGTGTACAATCGCTCAATACCATTAGTTACCATCAATAGCCTACAAGGACACAAGCCACAAAACCCCCAATGCTTTGGCCCAAACCGGATGCTTCTCTCTAGGGAATAAAGCATTGATTATTATTTAGTATTTACTGGTTTTTTTTTTATTTGTGCTACTTCTGTTGGCACTTAGGGGAGTGTCCACCTGAGTTTGCACCCTATCATTAACCTGCCTCCATGCAGTATTGCTGTTGTATAACTCCTCACATCATAACCATTACAGTTGGGGGTAGTGCCCTTGATGGCTGGAGTATCTCTTTAACCATATTCTGATTGCTCCATGCTTTAATTACTGACCTGACTCTTATAGTAACATCATTTTAGGGTGAGAAAGACTTTCTCATCCATCAGGTTACATTTTAAAGCATCCTGTTGCTACTGTTGATCCGGAAGAAGGTCAAAAACCATACATTGAAATGTTTCAGGTTCTACCTAAACAAAACAAAACAAAAAACAGAACAATGTACAATTTGATTTCTCTCATGTAATCAAGATGTTATTAAAGATGTTTGTATTTACTCTAAAAAAAAAAAAAACAATATGCTTCCTTGCTGTGGGTAAAATCTAATTTTACTGAATTCCAAATTGATCATGTGCGTTATGACAGTCATGTTAGTGACCAGAGACAGAGACTAATCTGCATTGAATGTATGTATTTGTATGTTTTATTATCTCCCATAATCTAAGTATTTTATCCTTTTCTCTGTTCAGATTATTCATAACAACTCGTGTCAGCATTTTTTTTCTTCTGTCATGCCCTTTTAATTTCTAAAGACTGCGAGCAGGGCAACTCAACCCTTAATTTCTACTATTTTCAGTAGCCTAACCTTGTTCTAACTTCACAAAAATATACCGGGTTGCAGATTATTAAAAAGAGGACCTGATTTCACCTTTAAAATTGATACAAATAAAAATCACACACCACAAAAGCTAACATTAGACAACCTTAGATGGACATGGAAGCAAAACCTATCTTATCGTCAAGAGAGGCGCTGTGTATGTAGCGGGGAAGTTTCAAAAATATGATTAACAGAATACAGGAGGATGGTACCAAAGATTCATAGCACCATAATTGCTACAAACATTTATAGGTGGTTTTGGTACATTGAGTGCCCTTTAATACACAAACATAGTGACTAGTCTTTTAATCCAATCTTCATGGATACTTTTCCAAAGTCAAGTTGTGCTGTTGAAACAGCCTCCCCTTAGTGATCTCAGTCTAGTACAAACCATCTTGCCACACGTAATTCATTTATTTACTAATCAGCAAATTACTTCGCGCAGTCAGTAAATGTTAGGGGCTGAACACTGATAAGATCATTTGCTTTCAGGTGTTTTCTCAAAGTTGCTCTCAGCATCAAGTATAAATTGAAAAGAGTGACCTTTTGATACAGAATCAAATTGACTGAATTTCTAAAGATTCACTAGTTTCAATTACCATAAATTTTTCATATTGGGCCTGCAACCGTTGTGCTGGCTGCAGCAACACTATATCTTATCTTTTGGATTGTTAATTCAGTCACTTTTCTGATTTCCTGTTCCTGGAGATTTTTTGTTTGTTCACCACATAACATGCTAAGTGTCAAGGACATACAAGATATGAAGTTTACATAAGTAAAATCTAATCACTAATTGACTGGAAAAAAAATAATGGCGCTTGTGAATGGCGCTTTAGGATCACGGGATAGGACTTTTCCTTGAAATTCAAATTCTTTGCACTTATGAAGATAACAATGTACTTTGATTTATTGTTTTAATCCTGTTTCTCTGATGCTTGATGAAGAGTTTTATTACAGTATTCTGTCACTGTCTGGGGTCTTTGCATCGCCAAGTCCCACAATGGCGACATCACTGCTGGGTGTCCAGTGGCCATGGGGGGCAAAGGAAGATAGGTTACACTTACCTGAATCCTCTTCCTTTGGACCTCTATAGCTCTTGGCAGGAGTCTACAACAGCACTATAACCTCATGTATGCGTGAGTGTACAGCATTGAGGTCTTGGGGGAATCACGTGAGACCGTAGGATCCTCCAAAGAAATCGCTTTTTTCCCTACAGCCATCACTGGTAGCAGATGGGGGAAATGACAAGCTTGACAAAAAGGTAACTCTGCCTTATTGCCAAGCGAAAGAAAAATTTGTAGACAAAGTAGTGCCTACTTTGTCTCAGTATATCTTTTGACTTGTTTGGAATTTCTGTGCAATTCCAACTGAGTCAATATGAGTATTTCATAAAGATTTTATCTTTATGAATTGCTCATTTTGGATTTGGGGTGACAGAGCTGCTGTAAAGGGTTCCTCCAACCAAAAAACAGTGTTTTTCATAAAGCACTGGTTTTGGTTAGAATAACAATTTCTGAGATGGGCTGCCACTTCTGTCGTTGTTCTCTCTGCAGCCCAATCCTCCATGCCTGACGTCACTCACAGTGTAGCGGAAAGGACAGGGGTGGCACTAGGGTGACGTGGATTGCTGTGTTTTGTTCTGGACTGGCAAATGACACTTCTGAAGGTGGTGTTTCACCAATGTGCAGCAATTTAAAGAGAAACGCTGTACATACAGATGCCAGGCACCAAGACCACATCAGAAGATGGAAACAAGAATACTGAAGGGCAAAGATAAATATTTGCCAACTAGGTATAGCTTGGTAATATACTTACATGGAAGGATGGGTGGATAGGTTTAAATCTGAGGAATTTATTGTTATTAGTATTAGGTATGATTTGCAAGCTATGTTAAAGAATGCTACTTTGTAGCTACAGCAGTATGGTAAGACGAGGGCTGATGTTAAAATGAAGGTTGAGGACTTGGAACTGGCACCTAACCAATTCAATGTTCTATGACGATACTGCATGCAATCAAATAGTGATTCTGTGTTTTGAGCATTGTATGTTTTTAGTATTCTGTCACGTGATCATAAACCCTTTTATATGACATACGTTTGGAATATAGAAGATTCCACGCTAATACCAGGTACTGATTCCAGTCTAGGGATATATATATATAATCCCACTCCTGACCTAAATACGACAAAACACTTGTAAAGGTGACAGATAGTCGACAATATTTTAAAATAAAATGTGTTAATACATATTAAAATACATTCACAAATGTGAAGAACAAATGAGGGCGAGAGCTAGGTACCTGGGCTACCATCAAAGTGTTTTGCAGTGAAGCATTGAAATGTTGTGTGCATGTACATGGTGTCTGTCATGCGTGCCGCAGTGCCAAGGAACAATATAGTGTTAGGATTGCAATCCTGTATTCCTCAAGCTATAGTGTATCTGTCCCTAAGTTAGAGATGATCCCCTCCTTCCCCCTCCCCCCAAAATAAAATGAATGAATGAATGAAAGGATTTACTTACCCTTTTCCAGGGCGGAGACTCCCTTGGGGCTGCTCACCTCTCCGCCTCCTGCGATGTCATCAAGAAGGCATGGCTTCCTCCGCTATGGTTCAATCTGATACTCCTCATACATGAGCACAGGGGACCTGATGCAAATGACAGCTGTATCTACAAAACAGCAATGTTTGAAATGTTTGAAATGTTTGAAAAGGACAAGGACTCTGCACACGGACCACTTCATTGAGATGAAATGGCCTAGGTATAATTAGAGTCCCTTTAATATCTCCTAATTTTCTAATGCATTGGCTGAAATTGTAAATCCATAAACTGGTCTCCTACCTTTTATCAAATTCCATATCCCACTTGCTGCAAGAACTGACCCATAAATTTAGGCTGTCGTTTATCCCAGCGCTGTGAATGTGGCTTTAGCATCAGCTGTTTTGATGAGCCATCTGCCTGGCAACGAGTACCTCAAACCTAAAATTATAACTCCTGTTTTTCATCTGTATGTCAATAACTTCAGCTGAATTCTTCTATATATCATTCAGCCTCCTTTTGACTGTCGTTTTATGGTGTTCTCCCCAAGGAACTGCTTTATAGAGACCATATTTCACCATTTGTCTCCAGGATCCCTACGCAAAACACAATGCCTAGCAGGTTAAGTTAATGCAAATGTTTGACACCATAAAGCTATTGGACGTACATAACAAGCTGTAAGGGAGAGCGATTTCTTTTATTTTTAACTTGTGAAAGCCAAGCTATCTATTTCATATCTCTGGATGCAGAGAAATTGACTTCCTAATCTATTATTCTGAATGAAGCCAATATATTTTATCCTATTCTTAAATCTTCAGATTCTATTTTCAGAATTTACTGTATATATGACAGATGCATATATTTAAAACATTTTTTTTTTTTTTTGCAGCATAATCTCACTTCATTTTTGAGCCTTAAAATACAGTATTAAAATGTATTTGTGTAAATAAGATGTTCTAGCTTAGAGAAATAATAAAATCTAAAATTGTTTTCTCGTGTGTATGTGCATCATAGCGGATTGTGCCCTGATGTTTAGCATAGTGAAATTATTGGTGCTTTATAAATAATTGATAGCAATATCTTGAAATTAGATTTGTGTGTCCTTTCCAATTTGTGGAGAGAAGGATTGATTAAATGGCATTATCTGTCTTTGAGCGTACATTAGAAATCTAATGTTGTATGTTGATGTTGTTCTGTGTGATGTTTTGGAATCCTGTGCATATCAGTCGTGGTTGTAAAAAGGTACCACTGACTGACAGAGAGGCCATTTTCGTATTCTGTCACTGAACTGTATGTCCGCTGGTGATCAGCAGAGAAAAATTAATTATTGCCTGCCACCTTTTCTGTGTAAAGAATCTACTTTACAGCCAGTGTAAAACTCATCTGGTATTGCCATGAAACTCGTTTCCACTTCAGATGAAAACTCATTTGCAATCCATTCCAAAGATGTGTTAGATAATCACTGTACGACAGTACATGCTTATGGTTGTATTGTGGTGGGAATGCAGGTCATTACTCATCACCACTTAGATATTCAAGCAGTAGCTACCATTATTGCAATACAGGAAGAGTGTACAGGATTCTAAATGACTGTTCCTTGGGTTCTGAAGTTAAGGCCCGGTAGCTCTTATAGACATTTCTGGCTTAGTGGATATAGATTTAATCCAAGATCCATTTAAAAGAGTAAATCATGTGATATTTTTAGAAAGGTGGAGTTAAAAGGAACAGTCATGTCTTTATGTTGCGATGTAATTTTATTATTTTATTTTAAACATGTGTATTGAAATTTTTAAAGCAATCACTTACCTACTTTTCCAACTTAACCTTTCAAACAGCCATTTTTATTCTTGAGTTTGGATCAGACTGTATGGTTTCTTACCTAATGCTCATTATTTTGCAACTGTACATTTCCTTCAAAATCACGGACAGAAATCTCTGTGGGCAGAAAGAGCACATGATTTTGAAAAGCAAAGGATGGCTGCAAAATAGTGAGTATTAGGGTAAAAAACTAACTGAAAGGGGGGGGTGAGAAGTATATTTATTTAATTCAAAATACTTAAATTCAAATAAATAATTTAATACTTTATAATAACATTTTATACAAATATTTTTTTTTTTTTTTTAATAGTGATAGTGTTCCTTTAAGTAGGGACCAGTGATGCACAAAATGTGTTTTTTACATGAGTGATATGAAATGAAATCAGTACAATGTGAAACTTCTAATAAATATGTGGGGTTGCTTAAATGGTGGATCCCCAGATGTTTTAAAACTACCACGTCCATAATGCAATACCATTCTAAATGCTTGCAAAGCATCATCGGAGTTTTAGTACTAATTACCTGAAGCTTACATTCGTCGCTCTATGTTTTGCCTTCTATCTAATTTATACAATGCTGTGAATCCAGGCCATAGGAGATTTAGGTATTTGATTAATAAACGCAATAAAATATGTAAGAAATAGCATAATTCACCCATAGATTATTCATATATGTAGGCCGCCACTCATAATTTTTGTTCTCCTTTTTTTTCTCTTTGCTTGGCGAAATATTTTATGGCCCTGAAGCAGTTAATTGGTGAATGCTTTTTCAAGAATAGAATGTTAAATCTCCCACTGGAGAGCTATTTACCTCTGTGTACCTGATACTTTACTCTTGCTCTGTTATTTGGTCAAGACCTTGCTGAATTTCACGTGAAGTTAGTGTGTCCAATAAATGGCCTCACAAGGGGTTTATCTGATAACAAAAATAAAAAAAATAAAAAATACAGCAAAACCCCACAGAATCACTTACCTGTTTCCATCGACAAAAACTGTGAAAAATGCTTATTTCTTGTCTCATTTTCTTTTTTTTAAGCCCATGATGCTTAACATATAAGATCATGGCTGCTGGCTTCCCAGTCTATTACGGTTTTACTGGCAGTCCAGTGAAGGTTTAATTGAGAGGCGAAAATAATTATGTTGATGCAATAACCTGCTTGGATTTTTTTTTTTTTTAATTAACGGTAGTAACCCTAATTCTTTTACATGTGCGTTCTTATCCTGATTGGCCCTTTTCCCAGAGCGAGATATGCTCCGTATCAGTAAATGCTGACTGATATCTAAAGGGTGGCTTACAATGACAGACCTTTAACCACATCATGGTTTAACCTCATACTGCGATCCGCAAGAAAACCCTTGCAGCACTGTGATATAATTTAATACACTAGGCTCTATAGTCTACCACAGAGCAATTTAAAACCTACAGCGCAAAATATTTTCTATATACATCATACAAAATAGAATTAACTAGATTGCAGAACCTGCATCTTACCTACTGTGTCTCCAAAGAATTAGTTATTTGAAATAAAAATCCCATAATTCCTCAAGCCTATCGTGTTGGCCATCTTGTTTTAGAAATTCAAAATGTGTATTAGTGTATCACAGAGTTCCACAGCAGGTGTGTATGAGTGATTACAGAACTCCACTGCATTTGTGCATGCAAATATCACAGAGCTCACCATAATGTGCAGTTCCACTTTAGTAAACCTATTAATGGTTAATTTATGTAAATTAAATAATTTGTTTTACCCATCATACCTATTCCTAAAAATATCTGTGAGAAGGCAATAAATTAAATGGACACAAAAGGCAAGCAGTCCGCTACATCTTAATTAAGTGGTCTGTATAATGTGCCTGCTTCATAAAAATGGCAATGTTTTCATCACCTCTTAATGCTTCACTATGAGGAAGCATTGGATTGGCTGAGATCAAGATTAATGTTCTCAGCTGAGGAGGCAGGACCGTTGCAGTGAGACCAGCTCGCTACAGGATGTAAAATAAGTAAAACGTACATTTTAAAAACCCTCACTTGGGGGGTAAAAACCTAAATAGGTAAGTAAACACTATAGCCTTAGGAATAAATGTTTGTATTCCTAACGCTATATTGTTTCTTCAACTGTAATCCCCTCCAATGAAGATACACTCAAATGATCACTCCAAAAAGTGTCATAATTACTGTAATCTTAAACATCTTCGACATTGGCAAAATAAATTGTCTGCTAAGTTGTTTCAAAGACATCCTGACATTTTAAATGTAAATGTAAATAAATTAAGTAAAATGTCTACTTAAAGGGACACTATAGTCACCTGAACAACTTTAGCTTAATGAAGCAGTTTTGGTGTATAGATCCTGCCCCTCCAGCCTCACTGCTCAATCCTTTGCCATTTAGGAGTTAAATCCCTTTGTTTATGAACCCTAGTCACACCTCCCTGCATGTGACTTGCACAGCCTTCCATAAACACTTCCTGTAAAGAGAGCCCTATTTAGGCTTTCTTTATTGCAAGTTCTGTTTAATTAAGATTTTCTTATCCCCTGCTATGTTAATAGCTTGCTAGACCCTGCAAAAGCCTCCTGTATGTGATTAAAGTTCAATTTAGAGCATGGGTCGTCAACCTGGTCCCTACCGCCCACTAGTGGGCGTTTCAGGATTCCAGGTGGGCGGTAGGGATTTTGTAATTTTGAGAGACTGGGCGGGCGGGTGCGAGCTGGCAGTACATACATACAAAGACAAGACACACATACATACACACATATATACAGACAGACACACACACACATATATATACAGACACACACAAGACATACATACAAAGACACATACACAAACAAACACACACAAAATATTTTAGTCACCCTCCTGTTTCCTACCTTTTAGGTGCAGGAGGGTGACTTTCCCTGGGGTCCAGTGGTGGCTCAGGTGGATGGGATGGGAACTCTGACTCCCTGGTCTTCCTCCCGCGCGGCTCTCAGTGTTAGCTGGGAGGAGTGACGTGCAATCACGTCCTCCCAGCTCTGTGATGTAATAACAGGGGGCCCGGTCGCGCTGTTAAAGCGTCCAGCGCTGACCGGGCCCCCTCACAATCCACATCCATCGGGTGGCCCATGCTGTCAGGGCCACCCGATGGAACCCCTCCATATACGGCCCAGCGGTATGCGGCGACGGTTTGCGTGCGGGCGAGGGGCGCACAATGGTGATGGCCATCACCATGCGGCCCGACCCGCCGCGACCAAAAACCGTCTGGGCGCATATGGAAGAATCCATCGGGTAGCCCATGCTGTCAGGGCCACCCGATGGATGTGGGTAGTGAGGCACCCGGTCAGCGCTGGACGCTAGCGACAGCACCAGCCCCATCACAGCTGGGGAAGTGAACCGTCACCAGCAACTGCGAAAATCGAACACCAAACCCCCCACCACCACCACAACAAACACCCTCCTGCACCCTGAAGCAAAACCCATTTAAAATAACCCAATATTAAACAGCATATGCCTTATGTAATAACAGTAATATTCTATATATAATAATATCCTATACTATATATATGTCTTATCTATATGTATGTGTTGTGTGTATGTATCTGTATCTTGTGTCTGTCTGTATGTGTGTTTGTGTCTTTGTATGTATGTCGTATGTGTTTGTCTTTGTATGTGTGTGACTGTATGCATGTCTGTGTGTGTGTGTCTGTATGTATGTGTGCCTGTCTGTTTGTGTGTCTTGTGTATGTGTGTCTGTATGTGTGCCTGTCTGTGTGTCTCTATGTATGTGTGTGCCTGTCTGTCTGTATGTATGTGTGTTGTGTGTGTGTGTGTGTGTCTGTATGTATGTGTGTGTGCCTGTCTGTTATAGTGGGCTATAGTAAGTAATAGTAAGTGGGATACCCAGCTCAGCCTTCCTACTGGGCATTGATATAAGGAAGGTTAAAAAATGTTAAAAAAGGGAAAAAAAGTGGGGAGGGGAATTGAGGAGGGAGAGGAGAGGAGCTGATGCACAGATGAGAAATCATATTATGCGCAAACAGAGAAGTCGTCTGAATATCACCGAAAGAGGAGACCTTCGTTTGTTCCTTACGAAAATCGAACCAGATATCAAATATTTAGTCTTGCAGCATCAACCTCAAGTATCTCATTAATCACTAGTAAAGGTAATTTCAATTTACTTTATTGTTTTCTCATTAAACTTTGTAAAGTTAAAAACATTATAAACATGCATTAAGTAGAAATAAAAAGATAAATGTATGTACATTTATTTTTTAAAAAACACCCTCCTTTCTAAAAAATATTCTGCACTTGCGCGAAAACTGGTGGGCGGTAAGGAAATTTTTTCAACCAAAAAGATGCATTAGCGGGCGGTAGGTAGAAAAAGGTTGACTACCACTGATTTAGAGATTGAGATACAATTATTTAAGGTAAATTACATCTGTTTGAAAGTGAAACCAGGTTTTTTTTCATGCAGGCTCTGTCAATCATAGCCAGGGGAGGTGTGGCTAGGTCTGCATAAACAGAAACAAAGTGATTTAACTCCTAAATGACAGTGAATTGAGCAGTGACATTGCAGGAGTATGATCTATACACTAAAACTGCTTTATTTAGCTAAAATAATTTAACTAAAACACTATAGTGTTCCTTTAACTATTTAGTTATAAAACACATTTGGTAATATAGAGTCTAGATTTTATAAGTGACATTGTAAAATATAATCCAAAGTAACCACTTTTGGAAACATTTTAAAAAAAAATTCATTGTGCATTCTGTGTTATCAATTTATAATTTAGGCTAGAGTTTGCATGAGCCTCCTGTGTGTAATTAAAGTTCAACTAACAGAGCAGGAGATAAACATTTCTAAAGTAAATACACCGTGCTCTCACATCTGATTGTAAATAAAACCATTTTTCATGGAGGCTGTGTGAATCACAGCCAGGGGAGGTGTTGCTTGGGCTGCATTAACAGCAACTGGAGTGATCATTGAGACTGCAGGGGCATGGCTATACACTAAAACTGCTTCATTAAGCTAAAGTTATTCTGGTGCTTAAAGGGCCCATTTAAATTCCACTTCATACAAACATACTGTTTATTTAATGAAACTTTTTAAAGGGGCGCTGTCTCTTCCCATGATTTTTATATAATTGCTAGTTTGTGGCAAAATTGGAAGCGCTTCAGACCAGGTTTTTTGCCATCTTTAGGATCAACAGCAACAACATTTGTGAGGAAGGCTGAACTTGATGGACGAAAGTCTCTTTTCAGCTATGTAACTATATATGCTACTAAAAGTTAAGTGTAGAAACTCACACCAATATGTTTATCTTCATGCTGGAACTCAGTGCCTCCATCTTGACACTCTGTCAGTCATTGTTATAAGCTCCACCCTTGGCATCTGTCCATCAGTGTAGAGAGTGCATAGAAAAACAATGTTTTTGTTTATCTTACAATGCAATGCGTTACCTGGCTCTGCAAGGAACGAACTGGATTGTGATGTCAGTTGCCAAATCTTTAATATACTTTTAAAAGAAAATGGAACATCACATAAAATATATTTATGCAAGTTATAGATGTTTTATTTGGTAAATAAATTGCATTTTGTAGTCATAGAATATAACATCTCAAAACATCTCATAAACTTTCCAAAATATAACAATAATTTTAACAGTTTTGACAACTTTTCCCAGTCAAGGCAAATGCAATTCACAATCATCTAAAGAGCCAAGGTTAGTTATCACTGTTTAAAATATATACCAATTTTGAAACTTAAAATACATTTTTTTGGGCTCAACCTATCGCATTAACTTTTCAAAGTTGAGAGAGAATCATGGGACTTGTAGTTCAAGCATATGCAGAAGCTACAAGTTGTTTAGCCCTGATTACATTGGTTCATTGTAGCTTTTCTTTTCTAAATGGTTATTAAATCTGTGTCCTTCCCACTGTTGATTGATTTGCTTTTCTGAAATGAGTGTACATCCATCCCTCAGCAGCTAATAAATTTGTTTCTATATAAATAGCAATTTGGGATAATTAGAAGTAATAGCATAGCCAAAAAATATAAAGGTTACCTTGCAGAGTCATTTCAGTAAGTAATGGGTTCGACTGCCATGTCAGTTTGGAACAGGCATGTGTTAGCAAACAAGTGTGCTTCATTTATTTCGACGTTGATTTATTTGCTGTGTAAATTGGGACACGTGCAGTAATATAATGTGACATTAATTGTTTAACGGAGTCATCTTTGTTACGTTTGTTGCTTTCTCCTGGGTGTCTGATTGCTGAAACTGGTACAAAACTAATTGAGTCTGCTCTTTTGAAGACCCATGCCCACGAATGTGTCAGGCTCGTTCGAGTGCCAACTTTCCTCTTACAATGAACCATTTAATAACCAATATTACTCATTCATTACCGCTCAGCAAAGGACACAAACATCTGTGTGGCAGAATATTGTGTTGCTGATATAAAGTGTATTCATTTTGTATTGCATGCTCATTTTGCCATTCTATAATGTCACAGTTCTACCTTATAAATATGAAGAGATGTATTAAAGCACAAAAAAAGTAAATGTTCTAATTTAGGAAGAAGAAAAAAATAATCATAAATAACCAAAACTGGTAATGTGTATTGGGAAAAACCTTTTTTTCACTTTAATAAGTTTACATTGGTGTTTATCCTCAACTTAATAACTTGAGAGATTTAACCCAAAGTTAAAGCGTCACTGTCATGGTCTGGAGACTTTGCAAAATTCACAAAGAATTCACATCGCTGCTGGGGTCCGGTGGCTGAGGGTGGATGGCTAAGGTGAGATTTACTTACCTGAACCTGTCTCTCGCGGTCGCCGCCATATTTTTCGGTTTCCTCCTCTTTAGCTCCTGGCGCTTCAGCCGATGTCACTGCTGTACTCTGAAAGAATACAGCATGAGGTCTATGGAGGATCTTGCGACCCTTCCAAAGACCCAATTAATTCCTTGTTAACAATACACCCCATTGTCTTCTTCCATCTGCTACCATTGTTATAGTATTTATATCATTTGTATTACATATCTTTCCAGTATTAATGTTGCCCAGTGAAAATCATTTTTTGTGCTTGCCACAATGGTGCTCAATGGCCCACAATATGAAGAAGTACTGCTGTTCTCCAGGCACACTGAAGGTTAACACAATGTTGAACAGGCTCTAGATAGTTATATCTAATAATGTTAGGTTTTAGAATAGCATGTGATTTAAAGCTAATCTGCAAAGGATAAATTACATTTGTTAAGTAAATAACTTTCTAATGGACCAAGAATGGACATATGCGTATTATCTGGACAAGGACAACCTCAAAGCCAATGTTCTTGTGCAAATATACTACACCCAGAGATATAAAGTCATTCATAAAGGTTCTCTGCTCCCAATGCCAAGCTTATGAGAAATGTTGACTCTTAATGTGCAACAACAAGTTGGTCAGGCTAAATAACAGACTCCCAAAGCTGAGGGTGAGTAAAATATTGTAGAATTACCACCCATTGTTAAATGTATGTATTCCATGTGAAGGATCCATCAATTGAGAATTGCATCAAATGTTCAAAAAGATTAATGGAAGACGTTGTACTACAAGAACGTTAGTGTGTACACTGCTTGCTAATTTGAGCAAGGCCATTCTTAGGTTTTGTTCTGGTATGTTGAAAATGTAACGGATACCCAGAAAGATCTAATTATAAAACTTATTGAGGTCTACAGGTTTCACAACACTGTTTTCGGCTTGTGTTTTGTACTTGTGGAATGATTAAAGAATCTTAAATCATAGATGCCTTCTCTCCTTCTTCTGCAGAAGATAGATGAAGAAAATGAAGAGAATTTGCTAGCAGTACTCACAGAGACATTGGACAGCCTCCCTGTGGACGAGGATGGATTGCCTTCATTTGATGCACTGACAGATGGAGACGTGACCAATGAACATGATCCTAGCCTTTCAGCTATGCCTGACGGTACCCCTCCAACTCAGGAGGCAGAAGAGCCGTCACTAGTAAGAAACCTTCCTACTGTTTAACAGGAATTGGATGTACTTCTGGCTACCCGCTGCATGGGTATGATGTAGTCAAAATAAGGTTTGGACTTTACCTTTAGGTAGAAAACAAAAGACCGTAAAGTAGATCTATCAAATGTTCACCTTAAAAGGGAAGTAGCTCTTCCCCAAGAAAAAAAATAATCTTTATTATACTAAAGAACATTATTTTGTTAAGAAAAGTATTTTGATTGCACTATTTGGAGTAGCAGCATTTTAAACTTATGTAGCTCCATAACGCTCCCTTCAAGGCATGCTGCTTCCTCATTTTTCTCATTAGTTGATGTGTCCTTTTGGATGTCACAATGTTGCATCAACCAGTGGGGAAATAGTTTTACAACCAATGAGAATGTTGCTTGTGAGAGCATGGGAAATATGTATATGTGTATATATCCTTTTTTGAAAGATTTTTTTTTTAAATTTAGGATACTTCCCCTTTAAAGATGAAAACATTGTTGTGGTTATTGATTTACCAAGTACATCAAGCTCTTTATATAGTATACACTCCTTTTAAATACTTAATATAGTATTTGTTTTCAATGGGTTTACTCCTCCAGAATATACATACCAATTCCACCCCTTTGAAGGCCAAGATGCAGTGTTTCCAACGCGTTTGATTGTATTGGTTGTCATGTACATATATGCTACTAAAGAAATTCTTGGAGGACAATGCAGATTAGTTTAATCCATGCACACAGAACCTCACCTGGTTGCATTATGAGAAGGCCACACAAACTGTGGATTAATGCTTTTCTCTCTAGGGAGTTGAAGAATGCATTACATATTTGTCGTTAACTTTAAAGGACCACTATAGTGCCAGGAAAACATACTTGTTTTCCTGGCACTATAGTGCCCTGAGGGTGCCCCCACCCTCAGGGTCCCCCTCCCGCCTGGCTGTATGGAGAGGAAGGGGTTAAACTTACCTCTTTCTCCAGCGCTGGGCGGGGAGCTCTCCTCCTCCTCTCCGCCTCCTCTCCTCCTCTTCAGCTGAATGCGCATGCGCGGCAGGAGCTGCGCGCGCATTCAGCCAGTCCATAGGAAAACATTCACGATGTTTTCCTATGGACGCTGGAGTCTTCTCACTGTGAAAATCACAGTGAGAAGCGTGGTAGCCCTCTAGCGGCTGTCAGTGAGACAGCCACTAGAGGCTTGATTAACCCTAATATAAACATATCAGTTTCAGAGAAACTGCTATGTTTATAGAAAAAAGGGTTAAACCTAGCTGAACCTGGCACCCAGACCACTTCATTAAGCTGAAGTGGTCTGGGTGCCTATAATGGTCCTTTAAGGCTGAAAGTGATGCACGTTCACTGATTATATTATAGATTAGAGTAGATATGATATTTTCACAGGGATTTATTAATTATATAGTTAGATGTGGGAAATTCACACCTGTCTTTCAAAATATAAGCAAAATTAGCAGAGTTGGGGAAATACATTCTAATTTACTGACGTCTAAGGCTTTTTTTGTTAGAGCATTTATGTTTGCAAATTAGTTGTTAATCTACCACAATCCACCATTTGGCGGAATATACCAATTTGTATTATTTTATGTAAACGGTTTTTCATTTTCAGTCAACATCAAATGAGTATCCGTAAGCAAACAAAACACACTTGCTGTATATTAAACGTACACCAAAAACTTTTTGAGTTAAATAACCTTCTCCTTCATTGAGTGACTGCCCTTATAATGTGTCGACAACAACATAAATGTAGTGTAAATACAAGCAGAATCCACACCGCAACTTGCTATTTTTAGTGACATTCACCTCTCAGAATTAAAGGAACACTATAAGGTCAGGAACACACGTGTATTCCTGCCCCATAGTGTTAAATCCAACATTTAGGTGGCCGGCCCATGGGTAAAACATTGGATTGGCTGAGATCATCAAGGAGGCTGGGTGGGGCATGGCCAAACACCAGCTTGGCCAATCAGCATCCAGTTTGGCCTATCAGCATCTCCTGCATGGAGACGCTGAACATTTCCTATATAGATGCATTGAATCAATGCATCTCTGTGGGGAAATTTCAGCAGGGAGACGCTGAATGTCAGTGCTGCACAGCAGGCTCGGACTGGCCATAGGGCACACCGGGCAAATTCCCGGTGGACCGCGGTGGCCGTGGGGTCGAGGCCGGTGGGGAGGTCCCAGGATCTCTCCTGCTGGTCTTTGCAGGGCCGGCAGTATCTGAACGCCAGCCCTGCAGTAGTCTACAGCGGGCCGGTTCGGAGATCAGAGATCTCCCTCACCGGCCCACATGCAGGATAGTGCGGCCGCCGGCGGGGAGACAGGGAGGGAGCCAGGCTGCCAGCAGAGGAACCCGGCGGAGCTTTAACTTACAGCTCCGCCGGGTTCCTCTCGCGAGATTCGGAGCGTTGCCATGGCAACGCTCCGGGTCTCGCGAGAGTGAACTCTAGCCTTATAGGCGAGAGTTCACTCACCACTAAGACCACCAGCGATGGATGGCAGCCCCAGCAGCAGGATCCCCCCTCCCAGGCTAAAGGTAAGCAGGGAGGGGGGATATAATCACTCAGGGCACAGCAGCCTCACAGACACCCCTAACACTCACTGACACACACTGCACCCCTGACACTCACAGCACCCTCACTCCCACACTAACACACACTGCACCCCTGACACTCACAGCACCCTCACTCACACACTCACATAAACTGCACCCCTGACACTCACAGCACCCTCACTCCCACACTAACACACACTGCACCCCTGACACTCACAGCACACACACACACACACACACACACACAGCACCCTCACTCACACACACACACTGCACCCCTGACACTCACAGCACACACACACTGCACCCCTAACACTTACAGCACACACACACTGCACCCCTGACACGCACAGCACACACTCACTGCACCCCTGACACGCACAGCACCCTCACTCACACACTCCCATAAACTGCACCCCTGACACTCACAGCACCCTCACTCACACACTCCCATAAACTGCACCCCTGACACTCACAGCACACACACACACACACACACAGCACCCTCACTCACACACACACACTGCACCCCTAACACACACACACACTGCACCCCTGACGCACAGCACCCCTAACACGCACACACACACACACTGCACCCCTGACACGCACAGCACACACTCACTGCACCCCTGACACGCACAGCACACACACACTGCACCCTTAACACTTAGAGCCCCCACACACACACTGCACCCCTGACACACACAGCTTCCTCACATGCACATAGCACCCTCACACAAGCACAGCACCCAATCACACACAGCACACACACAGCACCCTTACCCACATAGCACCCTCACGCAAACACAGCACCCATCATTCACACACTACACACCTCACACACACTACACCCCTTACACACACACACAGCACCCTCACACTGCACAATATGCTTTCCTAGCATTTTTGTCTCCTGGTATCCCAACTATGGAGACACCAGAGACAGATATCAAGCAAACACAGTGCAAGCATGTTATTGAATTTGCTTGCGCTGTGCAGAACAAATACAGGGTCTTTTTCTCATGCCAGAGCTCTTCAGCAGAGCTTTGCGCATGGTCTGCCCTGGAAGAGCATTGAACCAACATGCTCACTTTGTGATGGGGCATGCTTGTCATTGGTGATGACAAAACACACCCTATCTGGCCCCGCCCCCTTTGTAGTGGGGCGCTGTAATTAAAAAATGCCCGGGCCGAATTTTCTTTCCAGTCCGGCCCTGCTGCACAGTGTTCAACACTGAGCCAGGAAGCACCTCTAGTAGCCATCTGGCCACTGGGGGTGTCCCTAGGGTGTAATGCAAACACTGCCTTTTCTCTGAAAAGACCATGTTTACAGCAAAAAGGCTGCATGGTCTGACTATACTCACCAGAACAACTACATTAAGCTGTAGTTATCCTAGTTATTATGATGTGCTTTTAAATTTGATCTTCATACAAACATTTAAGGAGCAGGCTATCTGGTTATGCATAGACTTGCATAATATTGACCACATACTGTAAAGATGAATCTGCATTTCGCTTACACACTTTAATTGAGAGGGCAAATCAGGTGGAATGTATAGTCGTTATACACTTAAGCTGACAGAACACATCAGAAAGAATGTTCAGATACCTATACACTTGCATTGTCAAACACAGCATTCAGCCAGGACATTTATACAAGTCTTAGTCTCTTATATTGAGACAGTGCATCATTTTATCAGCATGGGTGCTCATATGGCTATAGACTAACACTGAGAAAACATCAAAACCTTGGACCAAGATTGCTAATTCTCTTTAACACATGAATTTAAGGTGCAGGTTGTGGATTTTAGAAAATGCAACATTTGTGTAAGATGCATATTGATTTGCCCATAGAGCTGCTATGCATTTAGAATCCACAGTACTTAACCAGGGCAAATGTACACTTTCCCATAGACTGGCGTTACTGTGTATTCACCTGTTTTTGACTTTTTCTGCGTTTGACTAAACAAATAGAAAACAAAGGCTAGAATGCTTGCCGAGCATTTGTTTAAATATTCGTTAAGGCAAACGCGTGTATGTGCAATGGGACCAAACGGTCGCCCATCTGTAAGTTTTTACTAAAATAGTTTAGATGCATTCTCTACGCTAAGATGTTTTCCCTTTTTATCCAACAAAATAACTATTTTTTGTTTCCATGGAAACCTAAGTATTTCATCAATAGGAATTTAAATGTTTGCACTCATTTTGCTTCACTTATGCACATGAAAGACTTTAGTAATATCCAAAGTGCTTTGCAGCGTGTACTGAGAAGTGCATTATATTAAATGATCTGTGCATTCACCTTGCTGTGTATCTTAGATAACGGGGCAGAGCTGAACAGCCGAGCAATAAAGCGATTTAGCGCGACTCTTTATAAAAGAAAAAGCTCTATATCTTATATATATATATATATATATATATATATATATAGGTATTTATATTCTATATATATATATAATTATTTTTTCGGCAGGAATATAGATACCTTTTTAGAAAATAGCAAGATGAGACACACAAAAATATGAAAGAGTGATGTATTTGGCAGCTGTAACAAACTGTGCATTTAAATTTTTTTATATTCTATGTATTACAAATAGTGGAAGCCAAAATACAACAGGTTATAGCAAAGTATTATCACATCACTACCATGTTTGATGTCTGTAGAGGAAAATGATAGCTGCCCATCATTGACAATCAAAGAGTAACGCATCATGAGTAACGCTTCCCATTGTTAAAATATCTTTTATAACTTTAATACTTAATGAGGGTCCCCAGCCTCTTTCAGGCCAGCCCTCAGTAAAAGTATGTTAACGGGCTCCCAGAGACACCCATTTAGCGACCAGAGGGATGGCGCCAGTGGGCTCCTTGCACTATAACCACTGCAATGAGTTAAAGTAGTCGCAGTGCCTACAGTGTACTTTTCAGCTGCTAGGATATCCCTGGTTTAATAAGACGCTATAACGCAATGGATTGGAACCTAAGGACTCTTCACTGTTATCACTATAATAAATGTTAGTGGTTATGGTGGAAATGGTCCCCCCTAAAATAAAGCATAGCTGTTTTTTTGTTTATTACAGTGCTCCAAGTCTGATCACCATTTAGGGAACAGTGACAAAACATTCAGGTTTTTCAACTTTTTTTATTTTTTTGTATGTTTCTAACTACGTGTACATGTCCTATAAGGCACTTAGTGTAGAGTTGTTCTCCCATGTTTAAGCATATATTATATGCCATTATATCTGTGAACAAAAAGCACATGTTCACAAAGATGTCATGCACGCAAGCATTGCTGTTCTGTACCAAAAATCAGGATATTTTATTTTGGTGTTTTGGGGAGTTTCTTCTCTCGATAGTAGACTGTGCTGAGTTGGTGTTGGACTTTTCACACGTTGGTCAAAGTATGTTTGTTCAAACTCTCTGTTTAGTAAATAAATCCTTTTTGTTTTTTTACGCTCATTTGCCATGTAAAATATTTTAATACGCGATTGTAATCTTTGTTGATGCATAACTGTACCCCTCCTCTTTCTGTGTGTTTTTTTTTTTTTAGCTTAAGAAGCTCCTACTGGCTCCACCTAACACCCAGCTGATTTACAATGAATGTGTAGGTCTCACTGCACAAAACCATGTCAACCTTAATCAGCGGATCCGAACAAGCTCTACGGTTGTTAAGGTATAAATATTATGTCTGTGAGTGCAACAAGTCCGTTCCCCCTCCCCCCCCCAAAAAAGGAATGTAAACAAAAACAATAAAAAAATCAATAAATCCTAAAACTTCACGGAATGCAGTCTAGAAGCCTTAAACAATCGTATAAATTAAAATTCTTTTTGAATTACGTTTCCCAGTATACTCAGCCAGCCCAGGGGCTAGCTGTGCATTATGGGAAACACATCTCACAATTGTGTTCAGTGGCAAGGTTAGGCATCACTGGAATCTACTGTCTTTGCATGGTACAGTTGCTTCAGGAATGATTTATGACTGAACCTTTGACTTAAAGAGAAATCCGTAAGCTGCTGTGTACAGTAAATAATGCTCCCTGTTTGGGGATAATACAATAACAGTGCTGTGATCCTTATTTTTCCTGGTACAGCCGCACTCATAATACAGGTGGGGCGGTAAAAATCCTGTTATTTAATTTTTTCCCCCCTGTATTCAGGAGCTGATTTATTCCAGGAGACAGATTTCTTATCTCCCCTGCTATCTATCACAGAGCTTTCGGAAAACTCTTCAAACCTATGTGCTGTGGCTGCTCATTGAAATGAAAGCTGGCATCTGTCCCACTAACGATTAGGGGCCTCTTCACTAAACGGTGATTTGAGCACGACTGATAATTGCCAAATGGAGATTTTATTCTGTAGCTCCTGTATTTGAATCTATGCGGTAACCACACCTCCCTGTTTTGGAATAACATCTTTGCTGATGTTATGAAATACATTATATTTAGCTGTCATCACAAAGATTTAAAACAAATAAAGAAAAAAAAAATTTTTTTTTTTTTTTTTTTTTACAGTTTTCATTTAATAATGTTTAAAAAGCAAGGAATGGCATCGATGCTGCAGCCTATTGCAGCTTTCTTTACTTACAGGCAGGATCTGTTTCTGAATATCAAAGCATGTGCTTTTAGAATAAAGCATTTGAACTGATAGTCCAATCTGATGAGTGTGATTGATGAGCGTTGCAGTCTATAGCAGCTGATAAACCTGAAATTGCAAGTCTGACTGGTTATTTTGCCTTGAAACAACAAAGAAACATGGTAGAGACAAGATAGTTATTACAGGTTGAGAGTAAAATTGAAGCCGTAGAGAAATTGAATGAGACTTTGCATACGTAAGTTGCATCTGGAAATATTAAAAGTCATTTTCTTTGCTTGTTCTGCAAACAATTATTCACAGATCATTGACGTAGTACTTGTTATGTGAACACTTTTCAAATTTAATATAAAGGGATTGTTTTATATATATATATAAAACAAAAGGCTCTATTCACTATTGTTTATTCTTTATATTTATCATTTTTCGTCTTTTCACATCCCTTTCATTTATCATTTTCTTCTTCTTTTTTTATTTTTTTTTAAGACCGAGAACTTATGGAGCACTAAGCCGAAGAACATTTGTCAACCGCAAAAGCCACAGAGGCGCCCCTGCTCGGAGCTTCTTAAGTACCTGACTGCAAATGACGACCCTCCTCAGACCAAATCAATAGAGAGCAGGAGTAACAACAGGCTTGACAAATGCAGCACCAAAAAGAAGCCCTATCTCCATTCCCAACCACATTTTCATGGTAATTTGGGGACTTGTGGGTACAGATCATCTGGTATTAATTCAGTGCATGTTCTGCTTATTTATAGACTGTACTTCACTCTGATCACATTCCTAAGGAGGATTATGACTGAATTTATTTCTGCCTTTTATTGTTGCTGTTTTTGTTTTTCTGTAATGTTATAAAATGTGCTTTCCTGAAGACGCAAAACACTGCAGATCATATAGAGGGACTGATGGACAGGCAGAAAGGTGTACTGGTAATTGGACTAATGAAGTGGGCGATAGGTAGATGGACAAACAGGCAAGCATGAACATGCGCACACTCACTCACACACAAACACATACACAAACACACACACACTGCAAAACAAAGGCAAGAATCATATAAAAAATTTAATCTCAAAATAAAAAAAACTCCTCACAGTAAAATATTATTTTTATCATATATAAATGGCTAAATAGTTTTCAACGCATAAGGGAATAAACAAAAAGCCTTTTTTCGCTCCTCATTTATAAATTTTGCAGTTAGTTAGTTAAATGTTATAAAGAAGAACATATTTTCAGGTGGAATATTCATTATTTTAATAACAAACAATAAAAATCCCACCGGACTGCATTTTGATTTGGAATCAACAAGGACCCTCCGCATACTGGCTCTCATGGCCCAAACCAGCACTAGTAGAAAGCAAAGCAATATCAGTAAACTACAATGCATACAGCATCATATGAATCTTTATCCTGAGGCTAATGTCAGGGAACTCAACCAAAAAGCAGAATAAAAGACATAAAAGATTTGCATCAAATAATATATTTCTTATTGCAATGCTGAGATAACAAAAATGCCATAAAAAAAGTGGGGAGGGGGCAGGTTGATGGACGACAACGTAATTTTGCCATTACTATTTTTTTGCAAGAAAAAAAGCTCTGTATCCCCTAGTTAAATTGGTGACAACTAGACAGCCCTGGTAAATGCTGTTTGTTTTGTGGTTTTGCATGTGAGTGTGGATAACAGCTGGTTGGGGTGATGTATTTTAAAAACCTCTGGCACTCAATAGGTTAAGACCCAGCACTGAGCTTAACCCATATAGGGCAGCCTAGGCGGCCTGCAGAGGGACATTCCTTAGCCAGTTATGTAAGGAAGAATAATGCTTCCGTTAATACAGATGTACAGACATGCTGTCAATGCTGGTTATGTTACCACCTTATCAGCGTTTTTCCATCATGCGTGCACAGGAAAAATTGTATGATGATAAAACACTTTGTTAGGAGGTGTATGTACTCATGGTATATATATATATATATATATATATATATATATATATATATATATATATATATATATATATTTAAATAATTTACAGAACGTCCATGCAGGACTATATTCTATAAATAATGCTTAATGATAATCTGGAGGGAGGCAAGACAAGTAATAGGCTCCAACAATGAATGAGTATGTTCTGTGCAGACTGATCTTTTCCCATAAACGTCTGTCCAGTATCCTGCAGTAGCTCCATTCATCAGCTCTGAGGTTCACAGTTTGGTGAATGGGACTTTGAAAGTTATATTACTGTGTTAAACATTTTGGTGTATTCTTTAACGGAATGGGAATGCAGAGAAATTATAGTTGAAACTGGTGTGATGCCTTAAGATAAAAGTAGTAAATACAAATGCAAAATAGAAAGACACTGAAGAATGCTTTAGTTGTGCATAAGACTATCCCGAAGAGGACCTTAACACAATCGATACAAACTGTCGCAATGGGCACACTAGATGGAATATGGTTATTATCTAATGACCAAGTCCACTGTATGTTTCAGTTGGGTACAATCTAAAAAAAACACCTATCTCAAGAACGTCTCCACCGTGATCGTGAATAACGGAGGCAAATCTTTTCCACCATTACTCAAGGCTGCTGTACAGTCACTAGCATCTGTTTTAGTCTGGTTATTAAATTAATGTAAAACCTTGTATTAATGTTATGAAGTTAACACGCAATATTTTTTACCTTTTTTTTTATTTACAGCCAGGACAACAACCCTGTCGCTCCCTCTGACGCCCGAGTCACCAAAGTAAGTATTAAATCCCGACAATCTTTATGTACAAGGGATGGGTATCTTCTGGTCTTGGCTACAATAGGTCCATTTCAGCTTGTTTTTATGAATATGCGCTGTCTTCCAGTGATCCCAAGGGTTCCCCATTTGAGAGCAAGACTATTGAACGAACCTTAAGTGTGGAGCTCTCTGGAACTGCAGGTGAGGACAGTTACATAACAAACATAGAATTCCGGTTCAACTGAATGTTTAAGAATCATTGCACTTAATTAATAATGATTGAAAACTTGTTTAGTGCTTGCTTACGAAACCTTCGCCACTGGGTTACGTTCTACAAATGTGAGCCATCTACTCTTACACAGAAACATAGAATGTGACGGCAGATAAGAACCATTCGGCCCATCTAGTCTGCCTAATTTTCTAAATACTCTAATTAATCCCTGGCCTTATTTTATAGCTAAGATAGCCTTATACCTACCCCATGCATGCTTAAACTGTGTCACTGTGTTAACCTCTACCACTTAAACTGGAAGGCTATTCCATGCATCCACTACCCTCTCAGTAAAGTAATACTTCCTGATATTATTTTTAAACTTTTGTCCCTCTCATTTAAGACTATGTCCTCTTGTTGTGGTAGTATTTCTTCTTTTAAATATAGTCTCCTCCTTTACTGTGTTGATTCCCTTTATTTATTTTACCCCTTAAGGACGGTGGGCTATGCAGTCCTTGGGGACCCGGCTCTAAACAGCAGGGGACTTACCTGCTTGCTGGCGATTGTAATGGGGGGACTTACCTGGCATCCCAGGGAGCTGCCCTGCTGCTGATCCGACTCTCCTGGGCCATGTGATCGCGAGGTCCTTTCGAGGACCTCACGATTACATGGACAGAATAGCCGCCCATAGCAGTGCCAGCAGAGGGAGTGCCAGGAATGACAGCTAGTCCCCCTGCTGCGTGAAATAAAGTTCAATAAAGTTTTAAAACAGTTTAAAATTAAATAATATATACTTAGATCATATATATATTATATAAATGATCTATGTATATTATATATATGATCTAAGTATACATATACACTTACACATACATACACATACACTGTCTAAGTGTATTTTAATATTAATATCAGAGTACATGTAGAATGACATTAATTAAATATATATATATATATATATAATAAATATATAAATACGTTAAAAATGAAAAATTAAAAAATAAATAATTTAAAAATATATATGTGTAATTTTGTTCTAACTGTATTTTTGATATTATTATATATATATATTGATATCAAAATACAATTAGAACGAAATTATATATATATAAATATATATATGTATATATCACTATATATATTTCTATATATATATTAATTCTACATATATATTTATGTAATATTTTTACATAATTAAGTCATTTTATTAATTACAATTTGCGGTCCTGCCTGATAACCCAGGCAAAAAGTCCAGAGAATTTAATTCACAAGCACTATATTTAACCCTGTAACTTTCCAAGACAGCATAAAACCTGGACATGAGGGGTTACTGTTTTACTTGGGAGACTTCGCTGAACACAAATATTAGTGTTTCAAAACAGTAAAATGTATTACAACGATGATATCATCAGTGAAAGTGACTTTTTTTTGCATTTTTAACACACAAATTACACTTACACTGACAATATAATTGTTGTGATGCATTTTACCCCTCATGTACCCCTCATGTACAGGTTTTATGGTGTTTTCAAAAGTTACAGAGTCAAATATAAGGCTTGTGTTTCAGTTTTTTCAAATTGAAATTCTCAATTTGGTTACGTTGCCTTTAGGACCGTATGGTAGCCGAGGAATGAGAATTACCCCCATGATGGCATACCAGTTGCAAAAGTAGAAAACCCAGGGTATCAGTCCTTAAGGGGTTAAATGTTTCTATTATATCCCCCCTGTCGCGTCTTTACCTCCAAGCTATACATGTTGAGTTCCTTTAACCTTTCCTTGTGTAAGTTTTATCCTGCAAGCCTTGAACCAGTTTAGTAGCCCTTCTCGGATCTCTCTCTAAAGTATCAATGTCTGATTCCCTTTAACCCCTTAAGGACCAAACTTCTGGAATGTCATGTGTCCTTAAGGGGTTAAGAACGTAAAATATTTATGTAAATACTCTATGTTTAATATAGAACAGAAGGCAGTGACAAGGTTTATATTTCTCTTTTTTTCTCTGTGTGAAGTCACAAACCATTTATTTTAATATTTGTTATTCTGCTGTAGGTTGGGTTTCATATTGATCACTTTTGTCCCAGTTTTAGATTTTGCAAACGCAATATATTCTATGCAGTATATTTGATCAGAATCCTCTTCGTGAAAAGTGGGCATTATTAAATCTCCACTGTTCTACAGAGCAGCCAAAATCAGTAACATACAATTATTAAATTGTAGCAATGTCTCGAATTAATGTTGATGTATGAATGTGCCTTAACTGTAACATTTTTAGAAATGACCAACTGGAAGAGTTTAGCAAGGCCAATTAACCCCTTCAGTACCAGTTGGTTCTGACTTGCAATATGCTGAATTTCATCTATTTTCCTTATGTGGCGCAGACAAACACTACACAATGCCGCTCTGTTTAGAGCAATAGGCGATACATTAGGATCTGTTTCTCTTATTGAACAGCACTGGAATAGCTGGGTGTATTGTTAATGCTGCTTTAATACTGCACTGAGCAAGCTTTGCCTTTGTTTCAATAACTGCTACCTAAATGACTTGGTAATATAACATGCCCTAATGTGACACATTGCACCTCCAATGATTGATTGGAACAAGCGCGATACAAGGTTATCGCACGGCTAATCTTTATACCCATTTTCCTTTACTGTATCTCAGTGCTGTCCAATTTGATTAGCCATGGCCACAACTCAGGCTGAGTTTTAGAACTTTCCTTTATTCAAATATGAATTATGAGCACTTTTTTTGTTTAATGGAAAATCAGCAACTGCTTTTTTTTCCCAAACGGTCCATTCTCTAAATGAATAAAACAAACAAACAAAAAAAAACGACAGCAAGATAAATAGAAATGATGTGTATTCACTTTAATATTTGCAAAATGCCAACATATTCCCTCGTTAATTCTCCGCAATATCCAGTTTATTGCATTAACAACTTTGTATTGTCTGAAAGACCACAATGAAGATGTAGATGTCATTTTTAGGGGCGTACAACGCAGATCAAAAACCACTGCTAACCCAAAAAAATTATGCTTGTTTTCTAAACAATATGAGAACAAATGAGCTTGCTTTGTTTGCGGCGACTGATCCGGCTATAAATACTTTTAGCAAGATTTCTTATTATACACATTTTTTCTGCAGTGTTAAGAGTTCTTCTCTTGAAAGCCATGCTATCAGCATTCCCCGTCTACTGACCTTAGCTGTGTCTGAGTTCACAGTTTCAGCTCTTCTGCATTCTTTCAGTGAACTTTGAAGACATGATGGCTGTTAGGTTTGCTGAACTAGTGTAACAGGCGTCTCCAAGATACTGCTATAGGCTCAGAAGTCAGATTGAGATTTTTTTTTTTTTGTTCTTTGTTATTTTTTAGGTTTACTTTGGTGAGCACTCTTTAACCTCCACTCTCAGTGGGTTAGTGTTTTAACTCTCCCAGTACCATAGCAGTGATGTTTTGTTTAAAGGACCACTATAGTGCCAGGAAAACATACTCGTTTTTCTGGCACTATAGTGCCCTGAGGGTGCCCCCACCCTCAGGGTCCCCCTCCCGCCCGGCTCTGGAAAGGGGAAAGGGGTTTAAACTTACCTTTTTCCAGCGCTGGGCGGGGAGCTCTCTGCCCCCTCTCCTCCTCCGATCCGCCCCATCGGCTGAATGCGCACGCGTGGCAAGAGCTGCGCGCGCATTCAGCCGGTCACATAGGAAAGCATTTACAATGCTTTCCTATGGACGCTGGTGTGCTCTCACTGTGAAAATCACAGTGAGAATCACGCAAGCGCCTCTAGTGGCTGTCAATGAGACAGCCACTAGAGGGAATGGGGGAAGGCTTAACCCATTCATAAACATAGCAGTTTCTCTGAAACTGCTATGTTTATAAAAAAAATGGGTTAACCCTAGCTGGACCTGGCACCCAGACCACTTCATTAAGCTGAAGTGGTCTGGGTGCCTAGAGTGGTCCTTTAATGCTTTTGCATTGAAAAAACCCCACTAAAAACTGTCCACATACTACTCATTGCATGTGTAAAGTATTTCAATTGGACACATATTTTACATAACAATTACAATGTATCCCACAATGCTGTACAATAAGTTGGTGAATGACATAAATATTTGAGATAAAATTTGCTTGGTGTGCAGTAACAAGAGGAAACTGTATCTGCCCAAAAAAGAGTAAGGTTAATGAGAACCTTACGCTAACCCGCTTACAGTACAAAGTTCAGCTTTGACAGGTGATCATAGGTTTATTTTTATTTTTAGATTAGTATTTATTAAATACCTAGCCATAAATCACTTCCATTTAAGATCTCCAAAAACCCCAAAAAACTAAAAACTAAAACTTAGCTCAACATTTTTAAATTAAGAACGTTGCCAAACATATACTAACATGCAGAACATTTTCTTTTTTTATGATAAATCAGAGAACTAGCTAACCCAAATTCTCATCCACCAATCCACAATATGATGACTCTTGTCCCCCCATGTAGTCTTTTTTCCTGTTAGTTATTTCTGTCTATGTTGTTCTATTGCTCTAAAGTCCATTTTGTTACGGTTTGGTCTGTATTTCACTCTTGTGATTCGCTGTCTGGTGTGCTACTGTCTTTTTTTTTTTTTTTTAACTTGATCATGGTCTCCTGTATTGTTTTATGCACGCCTTGTTTGAAGTTCAGTTTCCTGTTTATGTATCTTTGTTTACCCTTCTTGGTGAATTGGATCAGCACACTAAGAGGTCAGGCCACAGCCATACTGCTTTCTATGTGTCCAGGAGCCATGAATGTGACTCTGAACGCATAAATCTAGATGGAGTATAGGAAGAATTAGTCAGCTCTGTGTTAGGATGTGATACCAACACAATAATCTATTCAGCACTCCATCAAATACCAGTCTAGTTCCTAAGCACTACATTTTTCAAGTATGAAAAGGAGGTTATAGGCTGTACTGTCCCTTTAAGAAACGAGTACGTAATGATTCTTTATAGGTTTCAGCGAAAGAGAATAAGACATGAAGCTTGAGAAACAGTAAGGAAGCATTGTTAGTGTTCTAGAATACCCTGAAGGCCCCTATGTGAGCAAGAGGGATTATTACGTTAAATAGATTCTTTGCAAATTATATAGTTTCTCCTTTTAATTTAAAGAAGTTGGTAGGTTTTGCGTCTAAGTTACCTGCAGTTGTCACAAACAAACTAAAGCAAAGAATACTTAGAAGAGATGAACAATCTCTTTTTTAAAAAGAATACAGAGCCATAAGTGATAACAGTGTGGCATACAATGAGTAGCACTTTCATTCCCATAGTAATTCCTTGTAGTGCATTAATGTTTAATGATGGTGTAGTATATAACTCAACGTTCAGTGTTAAGGTTGTCTAAAGCCAAACAAAAATGCAGCCAATGTACCCAACACCACCAGCAATACTTGTAAATAATAATAATGTAAATGTTTAAATCAGCACTCACTGTCCCAAATAGTAGTTTTCTTGTCGCATCATTCAGGAAAAATTCACATACGGCTCTCAAAATGGAAATGACACCACAGTTGTTAAAAAAGATCATCTTCTTAATTAACACCTAATACAGAAAAAAAATTCACAAACAAACAGTGGCAGACAGTAAAAATAAAAAAAGCATAGTCTCTCAAGCGAGGGGCTGGGGGTGTATGCAGGACAGGCACATGCCCATAAGACATGTAGTGGTTAATAGTGTAGTGTAGGGGTTAATGTTTAGTGATCATGTTAGAGTAGTGGAGAGGAGTTTAAGCGATGGTTTAATGCATCTTTTTGGTTGAAAAAATTTCCTTACCGCCCACCAGTTTTCGCGCAAGTGCAGAATATTTTTTAGAAAGGAGGGTGTTTTAAAAAAAATAAATGTACGTACATTTATCTTTTTATTTCTACTTAATGCATGTTTATAATGTTTTTAACTTTATAAAGTTTAATGAGAAAAAATAAAGTAAATTAAAATTACCTTTACTAGTGATTAATGAGATCCATGAGGTTGATGCTGCAAGACTAAATATTTTATATCTGGTTCGATTTTCGTAAGGAACAAACGAAGGTCTCCTCTTTCGGTGATATTCAGACGACTTCTCTGTTTGTGCATAATATGATTTCTCATCTGTGCATCAGCTCCTCTCCTCTCCCTCCTCAATTCCCCTTCCCACCTTTTTTCCCCTTTTTATTTTTATTTTTTAACCTTCCTTATAGCAATGCCCAGTAGGAAGGCTGAGCTTGGTATCCCACTTACTATTACTTACTATAGCACACTATAACAGACAGGCACACATTCATACATACAGACACACACACAAGACACACATACACACATACAGACACACACACACACACATGACACACATACAGACAGAAAGACAGGCACACACATACATACAGACACACAGACAGGCACACATACAGACACACACACATACATACAGACAGGCACACATACATACAGACACACACACACACAGACATGCATACAGACAAACACATACAAAGACACACACATAAGACATACATACAAAGACACATACACACATACAGACAGACACAAGACACACATATATACAGACACACACACACATACACACATATATACAGACACACACACACAAGACTCATACAAAGACACACACATACAGACACATACATAGAGACAGACAGACACACACAAGACATACATACAAAGATACATACACAAACAAACACACACAAAATATTTTAGTCACCCTCCTGTTTCCTACCTTTTAGGTGCAGGAGGGTGACTTTCCCTGGGGTCCAGTGATGGCTCAGGTGGATGGGAGTCAGAGTTCCCACTCTGATTCCCTCCTCCTTCCTCCCGCGTGGTCTGTGTGTTAGCTGGGAGGAGTGACGTGCAGTCACTTCCTCCCAGTGTGTGATGTAATCACAGGGGGTCCGGTCGCGCTGTTAAAGCGCCCAGTGCTGACCGGGCCCCTTACAATCCACATCCATCGGGTGGCCCTGACAGCATGGTCCACCCGATGGACTCCTCCATATGCGGCCCCGGCAGTTTGTCGCAAGTGGTGATGGCGGTACCCGGTCGCAGGCTCGCGCCCGCCTGCCTGCCCAATCTGTCAATCTTGAAACACCCACTAGTGGGCGGTAGGGACCAGGTTGACGACCCATGGTTTAATGTGTAGATGTTTAGGGTAGTGTATGAGTTAAGAAGTTTTTGTGATATATTCACTCTTAAGACAGATACAATAGTATCTTATGCACTGGCATTCTCTAACATAGACAACAATGTTTGGACAAACATTCAGCTTTTTGCTCAAAGAATAGTGGTGCTCAATAAAAGTGTATTTATGTCTTGGTAGTGGTGAATGTTGTTATATCTCCCTAGCATATTTGTCCTAATACTACTTATAGTAAAGCACCAGTGCCTTGAAGCTATAAAATGTACTTCCACTTCTGAAACAAACAAAAAAATGGAATGCAGCGTTTTGTGTGTAAGTGCATTGCGAGGGCTGTTTGGGAGTTTAGCTCTGCAATGAATCATTGCATAGTGTAGCAGTTTTGTACACTGTGTGTCTAAGCCTGTATGCTTGGCTGACACACTCGAGTAATAGAAAATACAGTGATTTATGTTGTTTTTCCTTACATTTATTTGTATCAAGTTTTTATATAGATATTTTTAGCGGTATGATTCATTTAACAATGTCTGCTGTGTTTAGCCAGTCAATATTATGTTTATATTACAGCCAGCTACAGGCATTGTGTGACGCTGGTGGCCTGCTGGCTAAATGTGACTTGAATTTGCCTTTGCCTAGCTACAACGTCAAAAATCCACATATTATCTTTAATCATGGTTTTAATCATGTTCAGTCACCACTGGCCTGTGTTTAATGATGCATAACATTGCAAAGTTTTGATGAGATAATTAGTGTTACTCTACTGCCTTTTGCCACTGATTTAAAGTGATTTCACCTTTTGCCGTTCTAGCTTGCTCTGTTTTACCTACTATCTATCTATCTATCTATCTATCTATCTCATAGAGAGAACGTGTGTGATTTTTTTTTTTTTTTTTTTTTAGAATGTATTAGTCAGAATTCATTATTATACACAATATAGACCTCTATGATTCCAAACCTCAATGGAGGTGGTTCTGTAAATGTTGTCGGATGTCTGACATCATATACATATTTCTGTCGGATGTCTGACATCATAGAATGTGCAACTGAACAGAGAAATTTGGTCTATTTGCCTTGTCAAAATTGTCCGCATAGCAGAACTAAGCTATTGATGGTCTGTTTTATCACTTCCAGGCCCTTCTACTACATCATTTCAAAAAGCAATGACAGTGCCTCATGTGTTGATGATCATTGTCACAATGGCTCTTAAAAGTTGTACAGTGTAACAAAGCTTTCACTGCTAGATATAGTTGGATTACTTGTAATGAAGCATAGGCCCTTGAGCCCATGTTGGGCCAGGAGCTCTGACTCTGGATGTAGGAGGCCCTTCTTGAGCCAGTAGGGAGGTCTTCCTGCTTAGCCTATGCCCCCTCATCTGCATTAAAGAGCGTTGTGGTCTGCACCAATATTTGATGCCAACCATTTTAAGAGCACTCTGCATGACTCAGAGAGATGCGGGCAGCTCCCGGAGTCATTAATTTAGTGCCAGTTCTTAAAGTGGTCTGCTTCTGTTATTGGTGCAGACTACAATGCTCTCCTACTGGACCACCAAAAATCCAGCCCACCAGGGAATGGAAAGCAGAATGGGGGAAATGTAATCACGCACTACATATGCAACATTCAGCCACACTGACATCTCCTCACACATAATTGATCCACCACATACAACACACACAGACACACTCAATGTCTTTCCCCCACAAGCATAAGATATATGCCTCCGTGACACAGACAACAATTAGCCAATACAAACACCCTCACACATAGAACACTTAGCCACCACACACACACAACACTAACAGAGCTTAGTCTAGGGCTCTATGAGGGGCCAAAATCTGGCATCTTGTCTAGGGCTCTGGGCAACCTAAATCCAGCCCTGCTGCTAGGACAGTCCTGATCAAATTAGGACTCTTGGCATCTATGCAACTTATATGAGAAAGAATGAATGTACAGAGCACACTTAAGCAGACTGGCTGTTTTTCTTTTTTTTTAATTTGTAACTAAAATGTTGTTTTGACATGGCAAATCAGCTTCTGTTGCACGTTATAAGAACAATAAACTGATGGAATTTCATTGCCATTGTTCTGGTAATATCATTCTTTTGTATTAACTGCAGATGTTGTATTTGACATTTCTGAACATCATCCACCTACAAATATTATGCATTGTTGTGTTTATTGGCTGAAATTACAGCCTTTTATTTTGGTTCAGAAAACAATGTTTACCATGTTGCGCTTAGAGGAAAGTCAGCTCAATATGATTCCTATTTACACACCTGCCTAAAGCTAAATGCACATAAACTGAAGGGTTTTATTTAAATACATCTCTATGTAAATGTCAACAACAGTGCCGTGTTTATTTTTATTAATTGGCTTCTTTTCACCAAGTTTTGAAAAAAATTTGGAGCAATGTCGCATGCAATTAAACATACTTCTGATATGTTATCTTGTAGATTAGATTAGATAAGCAAATATACAATACACTACTGTGCCTTGCATCGCCATACTTTTTAAATTCACATTTTTTTGTCTACATTGCAACATTGCACAGGCCGTTCATTCTACGTTTGATTTATTGTTGTGCGTAGTTTATATTCCTGTATCAAATTCCATGTTATTTAAAGATAAATGTAATAGTGCTTTTGTCAGCAATAAGTGATATGCAGTAAATAATGAGGTCCACCTCTGGTCGTTCGGAGAAACTGGACCAGATTCCAAGCTTCATATGGTAGAAATGTTTACTTAATTCTGATAATGCGAGTTTGAAACGTTCTTCGAACTTTGGAGGGCCTCTCTGAAAGGAATGTCAACATGTAATGTTTGGAGAAAACATGGGAAACAAATCTTACAGGATATTTGGCATAGTTTAAAGGGACACTCTAAAAGACATAGCCACTGTAGCTTGTTGTGATGATTATTGTGTTGTAATTTAAGGGTGCTTGATTTTTGTCAGCAAACAGCTTTATAACCGTTTGACATAAACTAGGGCCAACATTCTACCCTTACTTCAACCATTCTGATAAAGCAAAAACTACACTTCTGCATCACCAAGTGTGGCTATGCCCAACATGGACGACATTGATCGGCCTAGAGGGTTGGGTGTTCTTCCCTCACCTATTTCCTGGTCCCTCCTGTGCAATTCTCCTAATGCTAACGTGAAGTTCCACATGAGCTTGTCCAATGTTTAGGGGCAAGAACAGGCTAACCTGCCCAGTTTTTTTAGGCTATCATTCTTGCTGAAGGGTGAATGCTTAATGGGGCAGTTAACTATTGCACTTGGTAATTTACAACAGGGGTGGGGGTGGGGGGAAACTTTAGGCGTAGGGGGATCCATGTTTTTTGGTCAAGTCTCTCAAAGACAGTTGATAGCAGATAGAAACATAGAATATGACGGCAGATAAGAACCATTCGGCCCATCTAGTCTGCCCAATTTTCTAAATACTTTCATTAGTCCCTAGTCTTATCTTATAGTTAGGATAGCCTTATGCCTATCCCACACATGCTTAAACTCCTTTAGATGGGTGGATATGTCAAGAAATTAAACTATGATGTTTTGGTTATAGTGCTTGTAGTGAATATCTTGTTTATGATAACCTATTCTTCTGTAACTGCGTCTGTGCATGTGGTGAGTGATGCCATTCCAATATTTTTATATTACACGAAAATTATTCTCCACTTTTGTTCCTGTGCAAAATGTATCTCAGTTGGAACAACTCCAGACTGCATAATATAAGCAAAAGATTCTGAGTGTACAAAAAGTTCCTAAGTGTGAATGATATAGATGCAGTTGTTTATTATAGAACACATTTCAATGCAGTAATCATAAATACTGCTAAGGTTGTGCTCCATTGAAATATGACCTACATAGTGTTGATTGTTTGTGTTATGTGATTCGTCTGACACCCATTACATTCTTGGTAATGGTTGCTATTTGTTGCTGTGCGCAGCAGGCTTCTTTGACAAAAGAAAATAGACAGCAATAAAAGCCATAGTCGGAATTTCATTCTAAAAGGAGGCTCCATGCCTATAGTTTGTGCTAGAGTGATAACAGTGTTTCTGCACAGCCTTTTGTCAGTTTGCTGCCTCTTAGAGCCACCTGTCCACCCATAAATCTCTCAGTACCAGGTTTTAACAAATAAAAGTTTAAAAATCTATACTGTTTTTAAAGCAACGCTCCTACTAACACACACAAGTGGCATCTACCTGGAGATCTAAAATAGACATTCCATTTCCATTTTTTAATAAAGAAATAGGTTACTATTTGAGTACAGGACAAATGACTAGGGGAACCTATTAATAGTGCAGGTTATGTTAAGCAAAGTAAAGGGAGAAGCAGTAAATTCCCAAAATCAATTCACAGAAAACGTAGAATTGCAATGAGAAATATGTCATTACTGAGTACTTACTGTTTCTTAAAGCCATTCTTAAATGCTTTTGAATGCTTAAAGGCACACTATAGTCACCAAAACATATTTAGCTTAAGGAAGCAGTTATGCTCCTGCAGTCTCTCTGCTCAATTATCTGCCATTTAGGAGGAGGTTAAATCACGTTGTTTACGCAGCCATTGTCACAGCTCCCTGCAAGTGACTTGCTCAGCCTTCCTAAACACTTCCTGTAAAGAGTCATCTCATGTGGATACTTCCTTTATTCTAAATTCTGTTTAATTTAGAATTCCTTATCTCCTGCTCTGTTAATAGTTTGCTAGACCCTGCAGGACCCTCCTGTATGTAATGAAAGTTCAATGCACAGAGCAGGAGATTAAAAAAAAAAAAAAAAACTTTTAAAGGAAGTAACAACTGATTGAATATGAAACCAAATTTTCACGCAGGCTGTGTCAGTCACAGCCAGGGGAGGTGTGACTATGCCTGCATGGACAGAAACAAAAGTGATTTAACTCCTAAATGGCAGAGGATTGAGCAGTGAAACTTCAGGGGCATGATTTATAAACAAAAACTGCTTCATTAAACTAAAGTTGTTTGGTAACTATAGTGTCCCTAATATTTGCCCTCGATTATAATTGCTCTTTATAGGAATCCATTGGCCTCTGGTCATGTGATCACAATTGCCACCTTATGATTTTAGCTACACTTCAGTTAGTTGAGGCCTAGTTAGTTGAGGTTCTGAATAATGTATGGCATCCCTTGTCACACACCTTATGCGTGGTAATCTTGTATTTTATTGTGATGCACAGTATCCCTTTAGATTGTAAGCTTAGATTGCAAGCTCTTGGACCACTTTCCATACACTATTGCTTCAAATAGTGAAATAGCACTAAATCAAGGTCCCACAGAGAAGGTTGTTTGCTCCTTTGTATTGGCGTCTAATCATGTATGTCTCTCTCTAACCCTTCCTATGATTATTTGCTAAATTTAGGAAGTGTCTGGTTTAAAAGCACTATATGAGAACTGTTAAATAAACCTTTAGACATTTATGGATAAAATCAACCATATAAATTTACAGACCGTAGCCTTATTGATATTTGGGTTTTCTAGTGGACTGAAAACAATCACTCTAAACTGAGCGTATTTTGGAAACTTTGCCAATAATTAATGAGTTATTACATAAAAATCAAATAATAAATTACAAAAGTGCTAAATATCCAAATATGTTTATATATATATATATATATATATATATATATATATATATATATATATATATATATATATATATATATATATATATATATATATATATATATAGATATATATATATATATATATATAAAATTTTATTCTGAAACAGTAGCGCTCATCAATAATTAAAATAAACCACACTTGAAAAAGAAATATAAAAAAATGTAAAACTCTAAAAATGAATGTCTCAAAAACTGTCTTGTCTATATGTTTTATAAATAATATGGAAACATAGTGCACAATGTAAATACTGAGGTTTAAATGATTTTCAGAAAATTCATAAATAGTTCTTTTAAAACCAATAGCCTGGTGAGCTTGTAAACATAATTACTTAATAGTACTAATTAGAATTGTTTTTATTTAGCACAAAGTGCACAGAAAGTAATTGAAAATATTATGTATCTCCCCTAGAGCTAATGATGATTATTAGTTTTCTGTTTGCATTTTAGGTAAGCCAAGAATACAAGTTTTTACAAAATTCAATTTTTTCTTCTTCTGCCTTCCCTACCTAGTCGTGTGCTGTAGTTTAGATGTACATTTTTAATATCTTGAAGGCCCGAGGCAAGTACAATGCTATCCCCTCTGAATCCTACAGCTTAATGTGGGAACAGAAGATCAATTAAAACGTAAATCTATAATGGAAATGTTATGTTTCTGCAATAATTAAATACGCTGGGAGTTGTGAACTGCGTGAAACCTTTTAAGTTCGCTGAGAGCTGAGCAGTGTTTGGGCCACTATTCAGGTATAAGAGTTACCGTCTCTTTAATTCCTTGCAGAATACTATTAATGGTATATTTACATTAATTGGATCCCTCCACCACTTGCAACCATGTAACACAGGTTATTTTTTTGATCGTACAAAATTAAGCCCTGCGCTCAAACTGCCACTACTCTTGGGCGGCAGCAATGACTATAGAACACATCAGTCTTAATATATACAATAAAAAAAAACAAAGAAAAACAGTTACATGCGCATTATCCCAAATTCCTATGTATATTTAAATAACTGGAGATTTTTTTTAGTATCAATCCAATAAATATAAAAAAAACTCCAGTTATTTAAATGTGCGTAGGGATTTGGGATAGTGCACAAGTAAAACGTTATTTAATTACTTAACTCCTTACGAACCAGTGATAATCATGCCATCATAACAATCTGTTGTAAAATGTTTTTTTTGTTCCAAAACAGGATTATCAACACAACTAAAGACTTCAAATCTTTATGGCAGTAAATATGCCTATCCATAAATATATAAGTATTTCTTTTGGACCAGATTGTGATGATGGCAAAGTGTAGTGTCTGGTCCTTATCAGTTGTTACTTAGTTGTTTTGCCACACTAAGTCTAGCCAGACTCACACACCCCACACCACCACTGTATACGTTTACATTTATACATAAAGGAGCCAGGTAAGTTTCAAATATTTACTAAATGGTTTGAGATGGCACCAGGGTCTTCAGGCACCATAGTCGCTATGGTGTGTTATAGTGGCTATGGTGCTTAGATTTTCACTTTAAGACCAGGCTTGGGCAGATCCTATTAATGTGACTGTCTAAACGTCCTTGTTCCTGGAGAGGTCAAAATAATAATGATGAGTCGTATAGCTCCATTAGTTATGGTTAAAAAGACTGTACATTAGTAATGGTTTGCAAAGTTAATAAACTGTGTAGAGAATGAATCTAAAGGGTTGGCAATTATATCAATTTTTAAAAAGTGAACCATAATAGGTAAAAAAAATTAATTTAAAAAGTTGTCCGTAAATGATGATGATGTTTAATGACTGACCCTGGTGCTTAGAGAATCTATGTAAATGTCTTATGAAAATAGCATGTTTGAATTTATTTATCTCACATTCCCACACAATGATACATCAACCAGATTGGACTATTGCAAGTATTCTAGAGATGCTACCCCATTAAATCTATGAATTAATTAACTAAAGTAGAAATAAAAATCTCTCAAAATCATAACTATTCCATGTTGTGACCAGTTGCATTGTCCATAAAGTCATTAATTTGGATGTATCTTTAAAGATAAAACAAAAACAAAACAAAATTATACATTTTCTAAGTAAACTGTTCCTTTGATTTTTAGGACTTACTCCACCAACAACCCCTCCTCACAAAGCCACCCAAGATAATCCATTCAGGACTTCTTCCAAACCGAAGTCCTCCTGCAAATCTATGGCACCACCTGCAAAAAAATCTCGTTACCTTGAGTCTTCCAATATCCAAGTTATTAACTCTACTAAGAAAGGTCCGGAACAATCAGAACTGTATGCACAGCTTAGCAAAACCTCTGTAGTAATTGGACAAGAGGAGAAAAAAGCAAAGCGACCTAGTTTACGACTATTTGGAGACCATGACTACTGTCAGTTTATGAATTCAAAATCCGAAATACATATTAGCTTATCTCAAGAATTACAGGCCTCAAGACATCTTGAATGTAAGGATTCTTTGCCGGGGAAAAAAATGCAGATCTGCTCGGACTTAGAGCGAGAGCAATGTCAGAAAGATAAATTTCAGGCAAACCTGTCTAGCTGTCAGAACAGTAACAGAAAACAGCTTCAGGACCAGGAAATACGTGCCGAACTCAACAAGCACTTTGGTCATCCAATCCAAGCAGTCTATGATGAAGAAAACAAAAACAGTAAACAGAGGGACAATAGCTACAGTGACGAGCAGTTTTCTAGACTACCTATGTTTTTAACTGCCGGCCTGGGAATGGATAGTTTGTTTGATGACAGTGAAGATGAAAATGATAAACTTTGTTATTCTTGGGATGGTGCACAGTCCTATTCCTTATTTGATGTATCACCTTCTTGCTCGACGTTTAATTCCCCAAGTAGATATTCAGTATCACCACCAACATCATTACTTACTCAAAGATTGTGTTCTAGATCACGGTCTAGGTCATTCTCCCAGCACAGATCATGCTCTCGTTCTCCATATTCACGATCAAGATCCAGATCACCCTCCAGCAGATCTTCATCTGGGTAGGTAAAATAGAATCTGAGTTTCTGACAGACATGCACATTTATTCTTTGCAGATGGCCAGAATTAATAAAATACCTTATGATATCTAAAAAGATGAATCAATTTTTCCAAGGTTTACCTGAGGACTCTCACATCTACAGATTGCTGAGAAGCCCATATTGCCATGTGTCCACCGAACTGCAATGTCAAATAACTGCAAAGGTCTTTGAAGAAACATGCGTCAGGGATCTAAGTTTTTTTTGTTCTATTATCAGATAGCTATGTCTGGTTATTTTGTTATTTGTCATTGGCAATATGGACTTCTTAACACCTTTTAGATCTGTTTCATTTTGTAAGTCAGCTTTATGTTTCTTTTTCATTTCAGGGATACAAAGCGTATTTAGTATATTGGAATTGAGACCGATAAGTGCCTTCGAAGGCACAGATATAGGGCTAATGATTTATAGACGGTCAGGGATATTTATTACTAATTATTATAATGTTTTTATAAAGTTTTTTTAATATATATATATATATATATATATATATATATATTATATTTATTATATATATATTATATATATATATATATATATATATATATATTTAAACCCTTAATCTCAGCCAAAGATGAAACAACCACAGTAAAGAAATATATATATATATATATATATATATATATATATATATATATACATATATATATATATATATATATATATATATATACGGTATATATTTCTTTACTGTGGTTGTATATATACGGTATATATTTCTTTACTGTGGTTGTTTCATCTATAGCTGAGATTAAGGGTTTAAACCAATGTGCTATAGTACATTGTATTTATTTCTTAATTTAATATTATTATTTAGTTCTTAACGCTTTTCAGCATTTAAGTTATAATTTAACTCAAACTGCTCCTTACCCTCTACCACCTGGGTGGTTGATTAGAGACCCAAATGATGATGATGACATCCGTACGACCACAGTTAGTTACTTTGTCTATGTTCATTTTTTAACCATCTACGGTGGTTACATTTTATCCCTTTCATATTCCACACTCATTAAGTTTTTCCTATTTACTATATGGCTTTTTTTAGTGTTGTTGATTAAAAGTCTGTTTTGACACTGCTTTAGTCTTACTTGTATATATTTGGTACTTTTGGTACATATTTGGAGTTTAACTTTACGATAACTTTTTCGACACTCATCCTTTATAATTTTTAACACTCATCCTTTATATTAGGGTTTGAATGAGTCAGTTTAAATGTTCTAATATTGCAACTATGTCTGCAATCTAGCATACATTTCACATTGAGATTCTCATTATTTTTAGGCTGTCTATTAGAAGCTTGCGATTAATTAAAACTTTTTTTATCTACTCTGTTAATTAGTGATATACATTGCAATTAGAATGTAAATGATATATACTACACTATCTTGATTAACACATACATCTCACTTATTTTGGTCTAGCAGTTAGACCTTCTATTTACCTGCCCTTATAGGATATATTTTTTCTAGTATTTCCACTGTCTATTTATAGACATATGTTCCTTTATATTCAATTGTAAATTACTTCTGAGTCCCTGGTAGCTGACTACAATATTTTAATTGAGTGTTGTTCATTATTTCTATTTGGTGTATATTAATTGATCTAATAAAGGTTATATTTTATTGCAGTAAGGTTGGGAAGTGTGTCAACTCTGTTTTCATTTGGTATTGGTTTAATTACTCAATTAGATGAAGTGGTCTGGGTGCCCATAGTCAGGAGGCCCCCAGCACCATCCCACTGCTAAGAGTTTTTCTAACAGTTTGACACTTACCCAGGGAATTCTTGACCAGCACTCTTTACAACTAACGTTTCGAATTAGTGACATTAATTCTGTCCAACTTTAAACCAAAATTGTTTTCTGAGAGCATCAGCTGAGACGCCTCAGCCAATGATTTTCATACAGGGATGGCAAATTTTTTATATTTCTACAGAACCATGGCTGTCCAGGGGTAAGTGTCAATCCATAAAAAAAATAAAAAAATAAAACCTTGACAACATATTAAAGGCCCTAGGAACCTTCTACAGCACACTATAGTGGTTAAGGCACTTAGAGTGTCCCATTAAATACTTTAGCCCATATCTGTATTATTACACAATATAGCTCATACATTGTTTGTGTTTATAAGATAATAAAATGTAGAATCATTCTAAATTTGAATTTCCTTTTTATAAAAATGATGAAAGAGGATATGTAAAACAGAATGACAAATTGAAAACAAGCACCAGTTTTTGTTATTATCATGGGCTAAACCTACAACTAAACATTACTTTCTTTTCCAGATAAATCCATGTCTCTGTATCTTTTTCATTCTAATATGTCAACATTCTCTTATTTAAAGGTCTTGCTGCTGCTATGAGACAGATTATTGTATTCAAAAACATTCTCCGGTATATGTACGATCTCGATCAAGGTCGCCATATGGTCGCAGACCCAGGTACGGAAATGTTTAATTTGATTAATTCTTGTTTTTTCTTCTCTATAGCATTTTAGATGATGTTAGATGTGAACATGCAAAATAGCACAATCTAACATCTGTATAATTTGTGTAATAACTTCCGCAGATATGACAGCTACGAGGAATATCAACACGAAAGGCTAAAGAGAGAGGAGTATCGCAAGGAGTATGAAAAACGCGAGTCAGAGCGAGCAAAACAGAGGGAGAGACAAAGACAAAAGGCAATTGTAAGCATTATGTCTTCCAAAAAACATGAATTGTGAACGGTGGTATAGAGTGAATTTTTTCTCGTTTGGCTAATCTCCGCTAGCTGTAATACAGTGCTGAAAGTTGTAATACAATATCGACTGGACAATTGCAACTTGCTGATGGTATATTTGTTTCTCTAGCTGTTTCCATGACCTTACTATGACATATCTCAGGCTTTTTATGGAGGAGTTGCAGCTGGTTATTGTGCCATTCTTGACATTTTTCTCTCTCACTTAAATTAGTGTTGTCCAATTATTTCATGTTGAAACCCACATATGATTCCAGCAGCATTGACTGGGGTCTGACCCCATTAAATCAATGATTAATTCAAAGGAAAATATATGATTTCAGGAAACTGATAGCCATACAAAAGACCTTGAGGACTGCAAGAAGGCCATCAGATGGAGAAAACTTTAAATTAAATAAACTGGGTTCAGCAATTTGATTGATCCATATAAATAGAATTTTCTCTGTACATGTGCGTTTTGTGAGTGTTAGAATATGTATTGAATGTAAGTGTGTGTGTTCTATGGCAGCAGCTAAAACACACAGTGCTTGATCATAAACAGCTGAACGCTTGGACAGGCTGAATAATGGCTCGTAAACTGGTGAAGCCACGGGACCGGCTGAGGTTCACATCTTCACAAGGTGACATATGTGTCTGAAGAATTTCCCTGAATAGCAGTTGAAGGACAGTGCGATAAAGAATTTTCACAGTATGGATTTTTGGATGGCCCTCAGTATAGAATGCTGTCATAAGTCACACGAGGTCAATACACGTAAATCATTATCCCACTGATCACTATAGGAAACTGTTACATAGAATTAAGGTTGAAAAACTGGAATTTTCATGTCACTTTGCAATCATCAGCCTCTCTTACAATCAAAGGTTTATTACTGATAGTTACTTTTTCTACTTTTGTTTTGGTGTGATAGTTAATAACTGATAGAACTTTATAGATATTCACATATATTATGAATTCAATATATAAAAGGCAAATAAGCCCTTTTCCAATAATCTATAAATTAGGTTCTGGTTTGCATTTGTACGTACAGTGGGCTAGAAAAAAAACAAATCTTTATTTTGTAGAAATATACAATCCACCATCCTTTCTTTTTGTTTCATTCTGGTTAATTTATCTGTGTTTTATTCTACTGAGATTGCTTACAAATCTTGTTGTCTATTTGAGAATAAACAAATTGGAATATAGGGTAAGAGCCATGCCTCATAAACCAGGAAGAAATGAGTGAGTGAAGTGTCTAGAATGGCAGACGGAGAGTTGGCTTCCAAGTGAAGGCTGTCAGGATGTCACCCCACTGAGTTTGGAACTGAAAATCACTAGCTATGTTTTATGATTGTCTGAGTGTGCTTTATTTTTAACACTTATGTGTTGATATTTATTCTATTTTAAACCTTTCTTTAGCAACAAATTCCCATGTGCTATGCAGTATGGAACATTTAACAAAGTAACATTTATATAGGGATGAGATAGGGCCAGAATGATTCACCATGATTTTAAGACGCAAGTCATTTTAAACCTTTAGACTGCAAACCCTCAAAAAGCCACTGTTATGGTATGGTTTGTTTCTTTTATATTGCTTGCTTGCTATATACTGTCGTGTTTCTGCACCAGTATATGAGTAGCACACAAATACAAAATTATTATTATATTTATATAGCGCCAACAAATTACGTAGCGCTTTACAATGGGTGGACTAACAAACATGTAATTGTAAACAGACAAGTTTGACGCACAGAAACAGAGGGGTTGAGGGCCCTGCTCAATGAGCTTACATGCTAGAGGGAGTGGGGTAAAATGACACAAAAGGTAAGGGAAGTATTAGGGATGTAGATTGGTAGAATAGTACTCACTGAAGACTTAATGTGGGGTGTTTTGGAGCCATTAACAGTTTAATTGATATGGTTTTGTGAAAAAGTGAGTTTTTAATGATTTTTTGAAGGAGTGGAGACTAGGTGAGCGTCTAACGGAGAAGGGAAGGGAGTTCCACAGGAGCGGTGCAGCCCTAGAGAAGTCTTGAATGCGAGCATCAGAGGTGGGAGTATGAACAGAGGATAGACACAGGTCTTCGACAGAGCATAGGGGCCTAAACTGGACATACTTGTGTATTAGGGAGGATAGATAGGTGGGAGTAGCATTATGTAGAGATTTGAAAGCAAAAAACAGAATTTTATATTGAGCCCTATATCCCACGGGAAGCCAATGCAGGGACTGACAGAAGGGTGAGGCATGGGAGGTGCGGGCGGACAGGAAGATGAGCCTCGCCGCTGCATTTATTATAAACTGCAATGAGGCAAGTTGGGAGCACGTAAGATTGGATCCAGTGGATTGCAGTAGTCAAGGCGAGAGAGGACAGTTGCATGGACCAGCACCTTAGCCGCATCTGGTGTTTACTTTATAACTCTAATTTCTCTGGTCAGATCTATATTTGCAGTCCTTTGCAATAGCATTCAGACCCCTAATACAGTGTTCTTCTATATCACTCAATTACAAAACTTATGTTGACATTTTTGTTTCTTTTTGATTAATTTTAACACATTGAAAATGTTATTCAAGTAAAATTCTAAATGAGTTTACAATGAATATGCTCTAAAGAGATGTGTAATTGTATATGCAATTGTATGGTATACAATAAAATATATTTCACATTGTTTAAATGAAAAATTGTCACTTAGAATAAAATTAATAAAATAGAGTGCTACTGTGTTAAAACATCATACAATCTGAAATTTTACTGTAACACTATGTAATTAAGTGATAAGAAGAGATTTTTGTAAGACACTGTACGCACAAATACTCTCGCATACACACACACACACACACACACACAAACATACAGTTGTAAGGTTGCATTACTCATTTGGGACATGTTAACATTTGTCTGCATCCTTTAAAGTAGCCAAGTGTAAAATGCCTAATTAGACCAAGAGCCGGGGGAAGGACATAGCAAATTAACATCTATTGATCTCTATGTGCCATTAAATGAGTTTCCTGAGGTAAATATCACATTTTTGGGGGGTTAATTAGCCTTAGTTTTTTTTATCATCATGACAATGAAATACATGAAAATTCTACAGATTTTTGGTAACGGAAATTTGACATTATTTTGGAGCTTTAATTGCCACGTACATTTGTTTTTGAGGTTGAAGTGAGAACGGAAATACTAGTCATTTCACACAACCTTTGTCTTTGCTCACATTTAATTAATTATGTCATATTATTTAATACCTAAAAATGGATTTGTTTTATACAAACCGTCCCCATAGTTTTTCTAATAAATATAGACTACAGCTCCCAACATGCTGTACTGTGTACTAATAGAGTTAGAAGTTGTAGCTGAAGCTGAATGTTCTAGCTTAGAACATGGAACTTCACGTCAGGTCCATACACAAAACTGGGGTCCCTTTGAAGACAATAAAGGTGTTATCTCACTTGAGGTGATAAAATACTGCATTGGCTGAGATAAATCCAATGAATGCAGCCAAGTAATTTTAAAAAAAAATCTCAATTAAATTGGGGCTACAACATTTTCCCATCAGATAAACACTACAGAGTATGCCTCTACTGCTTTGAACCTGTCACCTCTCTCTTTTTTTTTTTAAACGTTTGACATATCACTAACAATCAGAAGGAATTTTTTGCTCCATTAGAAGAAAATTTCCTACAGGTAACTGGGTATTATAACCGTGAGCTGCTGAAATAGCAAAATGTTTCCATCATTCTCTATTGACATCCTTTTTCTCGGTGAATATGCCATTATTGAGAAAGTAGTTATAGTACATAGCCCATATTATTAACTACCTAATTAATTAAAATCTTAATAGCTTCTTTTGAGTTTATACATTCCTGTAATGCTACAGAATAGAGAGCTGTGGGTAGTAAGGAGCTTAGCCTTTACTGGGCTACTAGGTCAGCAGTAATACTTGTGAATTCTATTTCCCATAATGCTTAGCTAACACGTGCATTCGTCATCTCTGTACTGAGTACAATACTGCTGCCATTGGTTATTTTAACATGTTTGTAGTCTTTGGAAATTAAAAAGCTCAAACTGGAGATTTTTCTTAAGCACTGTACAAAACTTTTAAAACTATATATATTGTCATCTGTTTTATTGAACAATTTGTCCAATATGTAGCACATGGATATCCTGATCCATATTTAATTACTCCCTATTCATGTATATATCCTAGTGAATATCAACGTCTTACGTGCATGCGTTGCTACAGGATTACGTGAGATTTAGTGTACTGAGGGATACATTTATATTAAGCAGACTTTAATAAAAAAAGAGTTACCTGTTGGACTTTATATCAAACTGTACCATATTGGATACAAAAAAAAATCTAAACTAAAATGCTGCAACTGCATAAATAAAATTGGTGAGATAGCTTCCTCTCCCATTCTCTTGGCTAATCTGTAACAGTCTTTACATTATCTTATTATCAGACTATTTGGACTTTCTCTTAGGTGTCACATATATAAGACACTATAAATAAGTCTAACATCAAAACAAGGTCAACGTGTGGCACCTGACATGGTACAAGAAGGAAAGACATCTCCGTTGTAACTTATTTATTCCTGTATTCAACACCTGAAATGATCCTTAAATTAATTAAATTGACATTAAAAGCACGGTTGTGTTAACATTTTCCCAAGACGGTTTTAATGATTGATTTCAGCCTACCTGTTGGGAAAACTCATTAAGGAATAATATATCTACGACTCCTAGTCGTATTTCTCACTGTTTTTTTGAAACCAGTTAAATAGGTTAACAAAGGCACAATCTATAAGACTCAACAGGAAAGCTTTGTGTGTGCTGGAAACAGATACATAAAAAGAAAATTCACATAACCAGACAGTTCGTACTTTGTAACTCAGTACTTGGCTATTTGGCATCGCTAGCTGGTTCATGGAGGACATATGTTTACCAGCGCACTTTAATAAAAGGAATTAGAAATTAAATAACTGAAAAACAAATCCTTCAATTAGATCAGTTGTTTTATTCAGAACAATTTACAAATCTTTGTGATTGGGGAGGACTTGATCTCTTGTACAGGTATGTTAGAAGGATAATGTATGTTCCTATGATGAAATCTGGTAATACGCAAGACATCAGGTGGAGGATTTTCTTGTCCGTATGTGCCTCTTTCGCCAGTTTTTTAAATTGTGCAGAATAATAAATTAGAAATTTATGGAATGTTCTGTGCACATTTACTTCATTTAGAAGTTGGACCTCCGGAATCAGCATTCTCACTTCCTAGTGCATGCTGGGGTATTGTTACCTCCTTAGCCTGAATCGATAAATACGAATTCTGATCTAAATTGATTGTTTTTCTTACTTTTAAGCAACATGGCATTTGACAGTAAAAATAATAACTACAACAAATCTGAATGTTTTGTTTGTTACAGGATGAACGTCGTGTCATCTACATTGGTAAGATGAGGACTAATACAAGTCGTTCAGAATTGCGTGCCCGGTTCGAAGTCTTTGGTGAAATTGAAGAATGCACGGTGAAACTGCGAGATGATGGGTGAGCGTTTCACAGATTGTTTTTAAAGGCAGTTGCCACTCTTGAGAGAATGATTAGCAACAAGTAAGGTTGTGGGTGTATACGAATGTTCTAAGAGAAGTGACAGATGACAGAGAGTTTGGACTCTTATTTATTTTCTCCCATTCTTATTTATTAGTCTTGTTAGTTGAGATCACTCCCCTCACCAATAAATATTTAACTTTGTGACAGGACAATCACACTGATAAATGGATGCAGTCGCAGTGGCATATGTAGTTCCTTTACAGCAGTCCACTTCTGTTAAGAGGATGAGTTGGTTAATACTGTTTAAGATGTTCCGATACAGATATTTACAACTTCGTGTTGCCTTTCAGCGATTGCTACGGTTTCATCACGTACCGCTACACCTGTGATGCTTTTGCTGCTCTCGAAAATGGCTACACTCTGCGCAGGTCCACTGAACCCGATTTTGAGCTTTGCTTTTGTGATCGAAAGCAGTTTTGCAAGTCCAACTATGCAGATTTAGGTATGGATTTTATAGTGCACATATACAAATTGGATATTTCGATATATGCCCATACCTATATTCAATACTATCTGTCTGTCTGGTTGTCTTTCTACCAATATTTTATTATTATCATCCAGTGTTCCAACCAGAGTATTCTGTTATTTCTCTTTAATTGTATCATTATGTTACCTGTCTATCTTTTTGTCTACCCTTTCATTTTTTGAAATTAGAATCATTTTGTCAATCAGTCTGTCTGCCCTCAAAGTGTCTCCCTATTTTCTATCCAGATACACATTATAGCACTAGTTTATGTCATCTACGTGTAAATGAACAGTTTCTTGTCTACCCATTACATTTATTCGTGTATAGATATGGGTTCCATATGCAGCCGGTCTAGAATGTTATAGAAGGTTTATTGTTTGTTTTTATAAGAAGCAGAAATTACCGAAATGGTGATATATGGAGTATACATGTTCAACTCGCTAATATGGCGATTTAGGTTCCAGACCCACCCTGTAATGCGAATATCGCTGTAAAGTAAATCACACTCTTTTTTTACATTTGCTTCTGCATATAAAAGCCTTAAAATGCGTTTACAGTTTCATACAGTACATATATATTAAAGCTGAAAAGCGTCATGTGTACAGTGTTCCCTCTTTTTTTTCATTTTGCAAAAAGTGCAGGTTTCAAGAGAAATTGGCACGTTTATAAATTAACCTGGGCATTCCTCCTGGCTTTCAAGCAGACAATGGGTCCTGTTACTTCCTGGTTCCTCAGTGGAGCTAAACTAAAGAGGCAGCAATTGCTCAGTGCACCTGCCTTGCACCTGCATTTTGAAGTCTGTGATTGGACAGTCACAGAAAGTCTGGGTGGGGTTAGAAGTGGAGGACTTGCAAAGGCTGCAAACAAGAGAACAAGTTTTTCTTATCCCCAATGAAAAATGCTAAATTAAATGCAAGTTTTCATTTGGGGTATATCTAGGAAACAGGGATTTTTTTTATTTATTTTGTATTTGGGCAGTGGAATGTCCCTTTAATTGTGTACAACTGCACTAGACAAAAAGATAAATAAATAAAAAATGTTAGCACCATAAGTATTACTAACCTTAAAAAATTGAGACAGTGGAGATTAATCATCTGACTATAATTGAAAAGTGCTGTAATAGCAAAGTGCAGTAAAGTAAGGTATTTTTGTACTCTGTAGGGTAGCTATAGTTCCCTTCTAATAAAATGAACATATTACTATGAAAAAGGTAATTTTAAACTGAAAACATCTAAATGAAAATCTAATTTAAAAGAAAAGACGTTTGCTTGCAAAAGTATTTTGTCCTTTTGTCTGCGGCTGTAATGCATGTCTGGGAAATTCTACGTTGGTTTGTATTCTCCTGGTTTATTTTCTGCTCAATATTTGCATTTGCTTTAGCCCATCTACAAGTCAGTGTCACAATTCAGCTCTGGGACAAAAACATCTGCTTTCAAATTCTTGCCTTTAACCCTTTATTTCAATACAATGAAAAAGCAACAGAATGGCAACTTTATGTTGCATAATAACATAGCTATGTAGGGTGAAAATAGACTCATAAAATATATTTTAACTTCAATTTTGCACATGTTTGTATATGGAGTACATCTGAAAGTAGGCGTGATACTCAACATCTTTTCCAACTGTGTCCCAAAATAAAAATTAAAATCATCCTTGATTCCAAAGGTTTTATCCATAATAATTATTATAATCTTCAATACATTTTCAAAAAATAAAACAAAAACATACATACCTTTTTAGAACATATGAAATTTGGTAGAAAAATATATTTTGTTTTGTAATATAAGGGTTATTATTTATTTATTGTTTTACCATTTTGTCTCATATCACATTTCTAGTCCTTTCTATGATAGTTATCACCCTCTTGTTATATACGTGGGACTACTACAGGCTAGCAATCAATGATGGTAGTTGTAGTTCCACACCAGCTGGAGATAATGCCTGTTGCCCACCAAAATTGTTAAAAGGGAAATTTGAGCACTGATGAATAAATACATTTAAAACCCTGAAATATCAAAAAAAACTAGTGCTTTCAGTATTGTTTGCACTAAAATTGTGCTCTTTCCTAAATAGCTTTAATAGTCTTAAGAGTTCCATGTCTTACATCTGAGTCAACTGCTTGAATATAATGCTAGTCTATTAAAATTAAAAAAACGATATAAAATACATTTTACTCCACAGTTAACTTCTTTAAAAACCAACAACGTACATAGTATTTAGGTTATTTTGAAAATAAGTAACGTTGGTAAAGCATTTTGCTGGTCCGTATTTCACCAATTTCTTATCTCATCCTGCTAACATCTTAGGAATCTGCATTCACAAAAATGACATCAGATTGCATATTACCACCAAACATCGGTATTCATAAATTTTGCAGTTGCTGCTACTTCTGCTTGGAAAACCAATATGTAAAATCAGGTGTTGGTCATATTTTGGTGTCCCGAAATATTTCAGTAATGTAATCGATAACACATTTAATCATAAAACGTCTTTTGGTTCCAGATTCAAATTCAGATGACTTCGATCCTGCTTCGACCAAAAGCAAGTACGACTCCTTGGATTTTGACAGTTTGCTTAGAGAGGCACAAAGAAGCCTGCGCAGGTAACATGCATAAATGCCAAGCTTATTGGAAAGATGGAGAATACCTCACGGACATCACGTCCTTCAATAACAGACCCTTGAAAGTCAAATCTAGGAAGTTCTCCTACTTTACAGTCTCTGTACTACAATGGTTTACATGAACACAGCTGCTGAAGACTGAAGAGGCAAATTGATTGTCTGGCAAACATGCATATCCATGTGTGTTAGAATAAAATACTTTTCACGGTGGCAGTTGTGGCGACCGGATATAGAGGACTTCTGCTTTTGCTTGAGAGGGAAAGGGCCACCTGTCAAAGCCTTGACATAGAAACATCAAGATTCTAATATTTATACTTAAAATATTTTGAAAAGTTGGAAGCTGCTGATGCTTAAGTGCAACATAGTCTTCACTTTTGTTTGATTTCAACAGAAGCATCTTCTCGAAGAGAAAAAAAAAAACATTGCAATATAGACGATGCCTTAGTGACTTATTTATTATTATTACTTTTTTTTTTTTATGGGGTGAAATCAAAGAAGTAAAGTCTTTTTCTAGTAATTGCAGCTCTCTGTAAGCTCTTCTAGTCTCCTTTGATTCTGACACCCATGCATTTGTCCAGGTGGACGAACTCTCGCTTCCCAGCTGTTGCCGGAAGGCAACTCCCATCATCGAGATGGCTTGACCCAGGACGATAGGAGTTACAATCCCACCACAGCTGGAGAGCCGCAGATTTGCCAACCTCGGTCTACAATGTTGATCTTCCGCGTCAATAGCCTTGTATATGGTCAGTTTCACAGCTTGTTCAGCGTTGTTTTTTTTCTGATGAGTGGATGTGGTGTTACATAATAAAACAGGAGTCAAAATTTCAGAATAAATGTGTCCAGGTAGTTTTGTACGCTACATTGTGACATGCAGTAGAGTATTTGCAGATGTTGTCAGCTTTCCCGGCAGAGAAGTCGGCAACTCATACCATTGCAAGGCTTCTCTGTTAGGGAGCTGGTTAAATGGAGTATTTTTTATTTTGTGTACATAATGTATGACAATGTTCTTTATTTGTTACAGCTATGCACTGTAAATGCAGCCTTCTTTTCAATACTGAATACCTTTTTCTTAATCAAGAATATTTAAATGTAATTATATAGAGAGTGAAACACTTAATGTATAGTAATCTATTTAGGAAAGAAAGCTAACTTTATGCATATATATGTATATATATATATATACGTGTATATATACATATATATTTGATTGTAAAACAAAAAAAGACGTTTGTTTTTTATTTTATTTTTTTTGAGTGCACAAATAATGTTTTTAGCACACTCATCTCATTCTTGTAGGTGGTCTTCCATGTAAGTGTTTTGTGAAGGATTATACTGGCCTTTAAAAGGTGTTATTCACATGATGAAGACCTTTCCACCTCTCCAATAAGTGTTTTTTCTTTGCAGCAATTTATACTAAATCAGTCTAAACATCTCAACGGCTTTACAAGTCATTACTGATTATCATTTTAATTTCATTTATATTTCAGGAATCAATGTTTGATTATTTGTATGAAATACTGTTGTGGGTGGTTTTTTTTTTTTGGTTTTTTTTTTGCAGTATGAAAACTGCTGGGTAACTCAGCACTGTGTAAGTTTTAGAGTTTGTTTTTATGTCTCAACACTGTTAAATAAGCCAGTAATTTTTATTCTGATTTGGCATTGTTAATTTTTATTTTTTTTGGCGTTTGTCAACATTTTTACAGTTTTACACATCCTGGGCAGACACTGAAATTCCATTCCTTTGTTTACTGTACACATATTATATCAGATGTAATTAATATAAGTTATTACGGTAATATGCTGATTACTAAAGATATGGCCAGTGAAAAGATATATTAAGGAAGCTATGCAGTTTTATTTAAAGTCATATGCTGCTGTTCTTAATCTTCTGTTTCTAAAACAGTAAGAGAAGGGGTTGATTGCTTGCAGTCTTTCAGCCGTTGTTGAACTGCAACTCTCAGTGTCCTCAGCAGAGGTAATAAGAGTTCAAATCAAAAGAGCTGGTTGGTCACATTATGACATCCCTAGTCAACACACTGCATTGGCATAGTGTTTCACATATGCTATGCCATCAATCTTGAATGCAATTTATTTGTCTTTTTTTTTCAGTACTATAAACGTTAGCAGGAATCCTTTACACTGAATCATTTTAATCTTTTCATCCGCAGCTTTTCAGTATTTGTAGGGTAGATTAACTCATTTACTGCATTGCAATCTCCCAAGCGTGATTGCTGAATTTGTATTAAATAGAGCCACTGAATCTCAGCTGATTGAAAAATGAACTTGCCGTGTTCAGTTGGCGGCAGCCTCCTGTATGACGCTGTTATTCTTTCACAAGTGTTAGCCAGCTACAGATTTTATAACAATTTGTAGAGATTGCTTCTATTATAAAGATTAAAAGAAAAAAAACCAATTAGTGAATGTAAAAAGGAATAAATACATTTTGCTAAATTTCTCTGGATCTGAGCTGTAGCCAGGGCCATGTTAGAAAGGATAACGGTAAAATAAAACAATATCCGCATTAATTAAAAAATTTGCCAGGTATCCTACAGAAGGGGGAAAGGGTTTATAGAAACATTAATTAAAGTTTGGTGATTATTAGAATTAACTTGAAAATTTAGGATAAAATAGGCAAGTTGGCAGAATATTTAGAATTTGGCAGTACTGCATAGTTTGCGTTTTATTCAACTTGACCATTTTAACTTACATTTTGCAAGTTGGTTCTCAAGTAACCGCCACGTACATTTTTAGTCAAAACCCCTCTCATTTGATTACATCTGTTCTTCATTCATTAATAAGTTATGACTACCTTTTTGTTCTATAGAAAAACAACAAAAAAAATTTAATAAAATGAAGCTGTCACTGCAAGGCAATGCAGTATATATTGATAACTGCGTCCATTTGTCACCAGCATATTTTGTTCCAAGAGATTCCACTGTCTGTAAAGCCGGAAGCTTGCTAGAGTTTATTTTTTTGGACTTATTTCAAAATAGATAGGAAGCAATAAAAATAAAAAAAAATCTTTTTCATGGGTTTTCTGTTACATTATTAACAGCTTTAATCCGTGTAAAGGTTACTGTTATTATTTAAGTTACAATGCAGGTATTTTATCTTCTTTAATTATATAAACGCCAAACAAAAGTTTACAGATTTTTCTTTTCTGAATTTTGAGTACCTTCTGTTGTAAAAAGACAAAAAAAGTATATATTGAAAGCAATAAATTATTTTTAAGAAATCAATGTTTAGTATATCATATTTTGTGTTTAAAGACCAGATGCATTGCCTATTTTGCCTTTAAATTTATATAATCAGCTGTTTAATACATTCTATTTTGCCCTGTATTGCTGAAATGAATAGAAAGAACGTACAATTTGTTTCTCTCTAAACAAATATGATCTCATTTAAATTATTTTATTTTTTGGCAGACCTGACAATTACTCGTAATTTAATTGTAAGTTTACTCTGCAGTTTTTTTTTATCATTATAAATTTATATTTTTGGGACATTCGCAAAGCTGAATTTGGGAACAAAATATATTGGCTACCATTTAAATTGATGTAACGGTTTTGTTCTTCGCAAAAAATAGAAAATAAAAAAAATCAACCTTGTCACTTTCTGTAGGCAGAGTCCGTAATGCACTTCTAGATTTTACATAGACTATGTTGGCTGTGCTTCTGCTTGTCAATAGTGCAATATTCTACGTAAACTAAGAACAAGGCGTATACCATTGTCTATGATACCTTAATATCTAAAGTACGCCTTCAGAGTTTAAACAGCATTTTACATTGTGCTTAATGACACATTGCCAAAGAGAGACATATAGAAAGGAAATATTGTGCAATTAAAAATTATGCACACCGTTGGGTCAGCTGAAAAATAAAAGCACTTCATCCTTTAGATTTAGATAATGATTACGTGTCCTTTTTGAAATCTGTAATGAGAACTTCAATCGCTGTAGTTGAAAATCAATAAATGACCTAGAATAGCCATATAAGGTAATGTGATGATTCTACATCTGTACCTTTCGACAGACATTGTCACTAATAAAAAAAAAATAAAACAGTTGGATTGCGCTACTGTAAGATTTGTAGGTGAAAATGTAATTATGGTGGTAAAACTATGCTTATCAGGCAACCGAAGCTTTTAGTTTAGCCCCGTGGGGGCAAGACTCCACCTGCCAATTCTACATGTACTGTGGTTTTATTCATTGTATTAAAATTCCTGTGATTATTTTTTTAATGTGCAGAACACATTGGCCTCACTGAGCTAATAAAGGGAAACAAATGTTTCAAAATCACACCTGTCCTCTCCATTTCTTTTTGTTATAGTTGACTTACTACTTGTTGTACTCTAATATTGTGATCAGCCTGTTATGTATTGCGGAGTTAGGGGTTGCCTGAGCTATTCAGGAATGAACTGTAATCTCAGATACAAGGATTGGACCCACAACTCTTACAGAACAGAGCCTTGCATCCTTCCTAGGGCCCTGGTTAACCCTAATCCAGCTCTGTGGGGAGCAATGGATCAATGAAGTTAGAAACAGAGAATTCTGGATTCTAGATTTTTTGTATTCTAGAGCATGGGGATCTAGAACAGCGATCTCAAGGGAATATGTTCAATCAGGGGCCATAAAAGAAAGTAACGCAACAGTAATGCAGGGCAGACTTAGGCCATTCCTGCTTTGATAAGGTGATATAGGTGTCTACTAGTGAGAATCCTATAGTCTGAATACAGCCTGGCAGGCATTAGCCTTACTAAATTTCCAGAAATCCCTGATCTGTGTTGTGGACTTCAGACTTTGTGTGATTAATGCAGTAAACTGATGTATCTACCTGCAGGCTACGCTTTTTGCAGGAACCCTTCACATACATTTATTACACTTACATGTGTTTCTCACAATTTAAAATATATTATCTATGTGTGCACGGATGTCACTTTTAGAAAAGATGCTTTTTATTTTCTTTCATTCTGATAATAAAATAAAAAAATAAAACAATTAAAATATGTAGCATTCAGTTTTTTTGTGATTCAAACCAGAAAGGTCGACCAAGAACAATGTAATTGTCTCTTAGATAATACAATTTTTTTACCCTCAATTCAGTACCACTAAATAGATTAATGTGTAAATCTTGTATTACAATCCTTCAGATTTCTGTTTTCCATCATCTTGTTTTAGCAAACCGGAGGAGTTAAGAGCGAAGGTCAGAAACTGTACACTACTTCCTTAGAGGTTTGTAACATTGTAATTCAAACCTCACAAAGATTGAATCAAAACTTGAATCCAACCCTCAGGGAAAAGTTCCTATGTATTTTTATGGACAGGCACAAAGTATTCTATTTCCATTATACAGCAAAGTATTTGTTAATATTTTCTTCTCTTTGGCTATTGATTCTCCAAGAAAAAGAAGAATTAAGTTCTCCTGAGGCTACAAAAATGAAAGCATCAAATACATTCCTTCCTTCCTTTTTTAGATTTGACATTTTCTTTGGACCAAAAATGTTCTCTGGAATTGTATTTAAAACAAGGGAAAATGTATTCAAATTTACAGTAATTTTCTTTTCCAAGCTATTCTCCATGACAGCATATAAAATGATTTCAATAAATAATTGTTATTTCTGCCCCACACAGCAGATAAGACAGGACAGCCCCCCAATTCCGAGTGGGATAGTAGCAAATACATATGGATAAAACTGAGGTACAGGATGATAAGGAGACCCCTGTTGGGGAGTTTCTGTCAGAAAACCTTTCCATAATCATAAATAAGAGATTTAGTTCCGGTGTAAATGTCACCTCCATCTAAAGGACCTTAAATATTTCGACTTCTACCATTCGCCAAAAGGCTGTATTGTGAGACACTTTCACCAAGTGTAGTACATCGTTCCCATCTCCCGCCCGCATCTTGCTGTGACACATACTGCTGTGACACATTTGAGTAGATACGGGATAGTCATTCGGGAACCATATACCACCTATATTGCAGTTTCCTCATTAATTCTAAATGTGCAGTGCAACTAGTCCTCCCTTTGTGGGCTAAAAAAAGCTTTGTCAAAGACTTTGTTCAAGTCAACCTGCCACGCTGCCATGAATGTGCTGGGTTCCTCCAGTGTTGGTGTGTTGAGTGCATTGTAAAGTGAGGAATGTATTTTCTTAGGGGAGACAGGGGGCTTACAAGCATCCTCTAGTTGAGAAATTGTCGGTGGTGTGGTTTGGCGGATGTTGTGTGATAGTAGTGACTTTAGTTGGAGATATGAAAATAGTGCTCCATAAGGTAGGTTAAATTGAGTCTGAAGATCAGGGAATGGCAGCATCTCCGCCCCTTCAATAAGTTAGAAGAGCTGGGTGCAACCTTCCTCCATCCATGGGCATTAATCAAAGGAGGGGTTAATGATATGAGCCCAATAGGTTGGGGTAGATTCCAAACCACATTGTTTTTTTTAAGCCTGTCCCACATATTGATCAGGAGACTAGTGATGGGAAAAGCGTCCCTCGGTTTTGGGTGGCAATCAAAACAAATATTACACTGCACAACCAGTGTGATTCAATTTCAACCCATTGCGGAGTGTTTACAGTGGCGTGAGATACAATGATCACTGACAGCGGCTTTATAATACATTTTGATGTTTGGTAAAAGCTCACTCTCTTCTAGTGGTTTATTTAGTATTTTTGTGGCTACTCTAATTTTTCGGTTATCCCATATGACTTGTATTAGTGTCTTTTAGAGCTTCCCTAAATAAGATTTGGGGAAGTATATTTGTAACGTTCTCAGTACGTATTGGAGTTTGTGAAGTATAGACATCTTGACGGCCGCTAGCCTGCCCAACCATGTTAAGAAGTTATTTTCCCACGATTTGTCTCACAACAATGTTTTGTAGTTGTGGCAGAGCAAATCAGTAACATTTTTGGGTAGCCTGAGCCCCAAGAAGGTAACGTAATCAGTTCTCCAGTCCAGAGAGAAGGAAGTTTGTAGTTTTTGTAGTGTTGTGCCTGGGATACCCTGTCCTATTGCTTGCGTTTTTGTAATATTTAGTTTATAGTAGGAATGTTAACCATATTTTTCTATATCAGATAGCAGGTTTGTGAGAGAGACTTGAGGTTGTGTGAGAGTGAGCAGGATGTTGTCTGTGAACAAGTTATTCATGCCATGGATAGAGGAATTGCTCTTAATGATTTGCGCCAAAGGTTCTAGTGATATAATGTACAAGAGGAGAGGTAGGTGCAGCCCTGCCTTGTGCCATTTGTGATTTCGAGTGGGTCAGATAAGAATCCTGCATTGAGAACCTGGGCTATGAGGGCTGCATAATGCTTTTACGCCCTGCACTCCAAATATTATCAGTACCGCCTCTAGGAATCCCCAGTGTAGGCGGTCGAAGGCCTTCTCTGCCACAAGTGAGAGAAGTAGCCCTCCCCTCCTCTCCCTCCCAAGACTGTACATCATATCTAGTACTTTTCGTGTATTATCAGATCTTTCGGCCCACCACGAACCCAACCTGGTGGTTGTGTATAATGTGTGGGAGTAACGTGCTCAATCTGGTTGCATAAATTTTCACAAATATTTTTGCGTCCGTGTAAAGGAGCGATATGGCTCTGAAATTTTGTGGGAGTGTGGGCAGTTTACCAGGCTTTGGCAATGTGACAATATGCGCTAGGAGTATATCCTTGCGCAGAGTTTCAGTTGAGGTGGCGTCTGTAAATGTTTTGGCTAGTTGGGGCGTAAGGGTGATAAGAGCCATTCTTGATAACAAACACTACACCAGAGGAAAAAGAATTGGAAAACTGAAAACAGAGTCAAAATGTAAACATTGTGTGAACATGGAAGACATCCAAGTTGTTGTGGTAACATTACTAGAACATATGAGGCTATCATACAAAGCACCCAGCGACATTGTTACACTAGCACAAAGTTAAAGCCACCATTAAAGGCAGTAAAAGCATAGACAACATTAAGGAAAAGACAAGTCAACAGCATCCTTTGAGAAAATTAATCTTAGTTATGGTACACCAATCTACTGAACATGGAATCTATCATTTTAGCACGTAAAACGTAAGACATATCCAGGATGACATCAACATATGTACATAGCTGCTAAAGAGAAAATCATTCAAATGGTGAAATAGCTCACACAATAATTAAAAAGACAAAACACAAATTAAAACTGTAGGTTCCAGGCTAATAAAGTAAAGCAACAGCATCTACGTGTGTGTGTGTGTGTGTATATGTGCATACATCCCAACACTGAAACACCAACACTAAATGCAAATTTATCCCTGAATTCAAATATCAACACTAAACACAAACACACAGCTGCCGTCAAACTTTAACTCTACACACAAATATAGCCCTTCATTCACACACACATACTCCATACAAAAAACATGCTTAAATTCTAATGCACAAACACTGCTCACAAATATAACCCTGCAAGCATTCTCACCAGGCTGACATGTCTATTCTGTGGGTGGGCCCTTTTTGTGCAAGTGTACATACTGTGTACTGTGCAGGAAGGTTTGCATTGGTGGCTGGTATTAGTCTGAGAACGTCAGCTGACACGCTCAGCCTATCACTGGCTCAGAGTAAAAAAAATAACATACTGTTACTCGCAATAGTCACATGACGAGGGAGCATTCTTATAGAGTTTTCTTCTGTTGTCTGTTTTGCAGATGCTGGCTTGTTTAGTAAAGAAACATGTTTATATTTGTTATTGGAACAAACTCAAATTAAATGCATTTGAAGCCTGGTTGAGTTGTATAAACATGTTAAAAAAAATGAAATATTGAGTTTGACCAGAGTAATATTTATTCCAATTTAAAAGAATCATTTAAAAAAAATAAATAAAAAAATCAATTAATTAACTAGAAGTTGATTTACAAAAAAAATGGAAATTAAGAACAAGATCAGTAGAGAGAAACTCCGAAAAATTCTCCAGCTGTTTATCCATCCTAGCCATCTTGAATGAAAATATGTAATTCCTTTGTAAATACTGAATAATTCCCAGTTTAATTAGTAAACGTGAAAGAAAATGCGATTTTAATTATACCTTATGCCTGAATCGAGGTTATCCCACAACACCAAATTACCCCAGTTTTGATGGGTTTTGACCTAATATTCTGTAAAGGAAAATTGATCTAAACTCTATTTAATAGAACAACATTTGCAAAATTTACCGACAGACACATTGCAGCTGCCAAAATGTTTTTCATCGCCCAATGAAATGTTGAGTAGAGCTGTTTAACTATTTGTTTCCATGGTATCTAACAACACCTTACACCTATTTCAACTGACTTAGGAAAGAATCTTTAGATGCACTGGTAATTCTTTTGTTTTGTGAATAGACATCTGTCTGGATCTGAGTGTGGTTACAGACAGCAGCTCACCTTATTTTGACTGGGTTAGGAACCTTAGTGTTATGGGTGATGGATTTTTTAGGTACATACTTGAAGTTGTGGTAGTGGTGAAAATCATTAAAGGGAAACTATAGTCACCCAAACAACTTTAGCTTAATGAAGCAGTTTTGGTGTATAGATCATGACTCTGAAGGTTCACTGCTCAATTCTCTGCTATTTAGCAGTTACATCACTTTTGCTTCTGTTTATGCAGCACTAGCCACACCTGCCCTGGCTGTGACTCGCACAGCCTGCATGGAAACAAAATGGTTTGTATCTCCTGTTCTGTAAATTTAACTTTACTCACACGACATGATAAGACATTTCAAATTAAACATATAAAATTACAATAGAGGAAGTGTAAACATTATATGACTCTTTACAGGAAATGTTTAGGAAGGCTGTGTAAGTCACAAGTAGGCAGGTGTGACTAGGTCTGCATAAACAAAGTGATTTAACTCCTCAATGGCATAGAATATATTGTTAGGTAGATATGTACAGATACTAGTCATCTCATCAAAGCAATAACTAAGAGCTAAATAAGTAGG